TGCGGTTTTTTTTACACAATAACAATCCACCTAAGCCATCTTAATTGTCCAGTCTTACACTGTATACACAGTCTCAACACCGAGTATACATATAAAAAGTGTTGCACATTTTTCAGCCAACCTGGGAAAATTTCACTTTGTTTCAAATTCTGCATTGTTATGTTATATATTTACTTGTTTATTTATTTATTATATATTTAGCATTGCAACGCGTATTTCACCCTCTTGTGTTGTTGCACATTTTTGTGGATACATTAGGCCTACAAAATGTACCTCGTGTCGAGCTGTCAGCATTTTGAAATTGGAAATTCCTTGCGTTTGGAAAAAAAAAAAAGCATTGAGAATAAAATATTGGCAGCGTTCTTCGTACACTGTCTGGCTACAGCATTGCACCTTAAGTGTGTAGACTTATTTTTGTATTTTTTTTGGTCATTTTGGTAAGAAATTGAGAATTTGTGTCCACATTTTGAACCCTGAATTTTGTGATCACTGCAAGTTTTCCAGAGTTTTCATTATCAGAATACAGTGTCAAACGTACGTAGTCCGGATTCAGTGTATACACCAACACAGTTTCTTGAATGAGTGTTGTTATTTTTCCCGAGATGCATGAATTCTCTGGTCCACGTTCTTTCATTCAGAAGTGAATTGCAAATGTTTTTGCACTCCATGTACTGGTACATTTACTACAAAATACTGTATGAACGTTTACGATGCCTTGAAAACCGTCCAGAGTTCTAATGAAATACTGTCCTGAATCGGCAAGAATATGTCATGAATATGTTTGTTCATGTTGTATCAACATACAATGTACATGAAGTATAATTACAAAGGCATTTTGCGTTTTTGGTTGTTTTGGGGTTTTTTTTGGTCTTATAAAGAGGAGGTTGTTAATCGTGTTTGAATGTGTGAATGTTTCACAATTGATTGCCTGTTAGCTCAGTAGAACGATAAGATAATTCCCTTTTTGCTTTGTCCCTGGAACACTTGACCTCTAATCAGCAGTTTGCGCCATTGCCGCCGAAGTAATAACATGTCGTAATGAATCCTGACGTGAATACATGTAGTTAATGCCACCGGAATTAATTACATTAGTTAGCACGGTCGGCCGAGAGGATGTACATGTATACCAACTAATGCTGCAATCTATGCACATGCATGTCAAAAGCATGGCACTGTCTCACCCAGCATCTCATATTGGCACAGTCATTGCACAGACCTCATCGGCGTCTCATGCTCTGTGGTCTTGTACCCTGAGTCTACCGTCACTCTTATAAACCAGGACCCCTGCCCGACCAACCCTGACCCAATTCTCATGGATGCCATACTAAACTCAAAATAATAACGGCTACATGTACTTGTAGTTCACTGCGACGAAAGAAAGGAACTGATTATTTGGCAAATTGACGTCACATTCTGCAGCTTCATCAAAGGGCCGGAATTATTTCCTCATTTCCTGGCATGTACAAAGTGCCCTTAGACTCCTTCATACTGTCCACAGTAATTTCTGAAGCATGTGCACATGCCCAAGTATTGCTACTGACTTGATACAACATTGGCAAAATGTTGAGTCCCCTGTTGGGATAGATTCTCACATATTGTTGACTCTCGGGTAGTATTTGTGGGATACTAGGACGTCTCCATGGCATATCAAACTGGGGAGCAGTTGTCGGTAAAATTCATAGGGGATTTGTAACAAAATTGGGGTGGGGTGGGAGTTTGTTGTGGGGGTGGGGATTTGCAACTTGTTTAGATTTTCATAGATTAAATATGAAAGTTGTAAAATTGGTTATCAAAGAATAGTACTTTGGTCGTTTTTGTTGGGGTACAATGTAGGTAGTTTTGTGAGCTGTACATTGTAACATTTTTGAAAATCAGCCCCCTTTTGGGAAAAAAACTACCCCTTTCCTTAGTGTTGTCCAAGATATGTACCGGTATGCATTGTGTCTTATTGTGTGCATGAGCTAGTGGAATGCCGAAGATTTACACAAATGTATCATGTGGAATGTCAAGAGATTTTCTTCCATACTTTTTATATTCCTTTCATTTTGTTCGTTTGTTTGTTTCTTTCTTTCTTTCTTCAATTTTACCCCCTTACTCCTCCCAACTTCTTGCAGATAAGGAAGTTTTCATTACGTATCAGATTTATTTCAGAGTGTCCTTCTCTCGTTGAGCATTTTTTTTTTCATGAAACCATCAACATGCACTCAGGTTAACACATATGAGCACAATGGTTCAGCATTGTTAAGAGCATTATTACGCAAATCTACAAGTATGCAGAAATTGTTTGAACTCCTCAGAGTTTGAAATCATCATTTTAATGTATTCACTATGAAAAAAACCAAGGTCTGATTTCTTTACCTAATCTCTGCATGCTTTTCATTTTATGCTAGATGCAATATAGACTTTGCACGTATTAGATCTAGATTTCATTCCATTTAGTTGTAGAGATATTTCTCACTAGACTACATTCACATAGTGAGCTTAAGCATGATTTTTAGACATATTTAGTCAACAACTTAAAAAGTGATTTTCTTTTATTAAAAAAAAATGAACTCCAGTCTGTTCTATGTCAAACCTGAATCAAATTATTAATGCCACTTTTCTCTCACAGATTCAATTTTGCTTTCACTGTAATATTCACAATTGTCAATGTATTACAGATATCCACCATTGATCCACCATAGAGTGTAAACGTACATGTACATGTGCGTGTATTGTATATTTCTTTTCATGGTTACAATTAATGAAAGGTAGATGCAGGTTATGGGGATAATGGCTATTATTTTTGTTCCAAAATGTCTAGTTGCCAATTAAGCTTTGAAATAGGAAAATAACCCATTTTCATTTCCTCTTTGAAAACTAGAAATGTTGGTCAGTTCCTTGATAAAATGTCAGGACTCATTTGAAGCAATACACTTCTTGTTGTTTTATCATAAAAGTACCATAAGAACAATGTTTGTATCAAATAAAAGAACAATGAACATGTCTCATTAAGAAGAAAGAATCAACCTTTTAGGGAGGGGGATAGATCAGGTACAAATTGTAATGTAAGTAACCGACAGTGTCACTGCTAATAAAAGGGGCCAAGCAAGGAATTGTTCTTAAGAACACATTTTGTGCAACTTTCTACTCCTCTCACATGTATGAAAACAATTTGACATCATTTTTAGGTTCATTTGATTGAAAAGTGCACTTCTTTAAACATTAAAAAAATTCCATGCTTTTCCGGACAACTGAGGGAGCTGTTGCTGGGATGTCATTGTAGGAAGATACACTTCAGTTTAGGGGTTTTCTGTTCAAATTGTGAACCCAAAATGTGTTCATTGAAAACATTTGTGAGAAAGGTTTACTCATTGGCTTACTGCCATGTACTTACACAATAACAAATTACCAAAGAAAAGAACATGTACGACAGCAAAATATCCAACTTCTAGCACTTTTGTGCTGAAATAGCTGTAACATTAGAGTTTTTGCCCGGAATGACATCACAGTTTTGCTCACGAGTATGGACATTTTCATTAACATAAAAACCAAAAAGCACCAACATGTCCTTTAAAATTGCAAAACAAAAATTGAAAAGAATATTAAATGAGACACAAAGGTGCATTTTCAAGGATTGCATTCAAACAATGATATGCATGGGCCCTTTGAACAATCAATGTGGATTCAGATATGGTATTATCCATGTAATGTAGCCGTTAACAAATATTAATAAGTCAGTTGCACAACAATAGGTTCGTTAACACTGAAAAAAAAGTCACCAAAATACTACACAAGTGTAACCCTAGTGTAAGTAAGTGTAAGATTTATCAATCACTGATTTCTCAAGTTGAACAAAGAGAGCAAACCTGGTTGAAGACGATTAAACCCATTTCTTAAAAGTCAAAGAAAACTTTTCTTTGAAGTTTTGCCCATTTTAATCATTGCCTTTCTCTTTTTCACTCCACCTCCCCCCCTACCCCCAACCTTTCTTCCTGTTCCCCATTTTCTTGATTCTAACTCTCAAAACCACTCTGTCCCCCAAAACATCTGCCTTTTCTCGTGCCCTTTAACACTTACATTTTTTAAAAACTTTGCAATGCCTTCTATACTTCCCTTTTTTTCTCCATTTCTCCACTTTTCCTAAATCCAATTTTCATGTATCAATTGTTTCTGTTACTTTTATTTATTTATTTTTGTTATTTTAACATTGTTCTGTGTTTTTATCCTTCTGTTGGTCCACCCACTGGTATTAAACTCTTTAAATTAATTTTGGCATTAATTTTAAATCATTTGGCCAATTGTGTCTGCCTTTGTTCTATTTGTTTGTTATTTCACCGTCAATCATCTACGTGTGTTCCCTTTTTTTCTCTCATTCACTTTGACCCTGTGTTCCTTGTCTTTACATATCTTTCTGTTTTTCTGTTCAATGTGCTGCTTGGTTGATGTCTTGGTTGATGTCGTGCATGTATGTCTACCACCCTGTCATCTATTGCATTGCACCCATAATTCCTGACGTCAAACTCTGCTTTAAATGCTGTTTCCGACCGTACCCTCCTACAACCCCCTCACTCCCTGCAACGCTTACTCCCCCACTACCCCTCGCCATTATATCTACCTCGTTTCATGCCCTCATTCATCACTTACCCCTCCTCACTTTTTATCATCCCTCTTCTTCTGGCCTCACACGTACCAATTATTCCTCCCCATAACCGAATCCACCCAATTTCACAACCCTTTACTCTCCTTGTCTGGTCTCTTACACCCACTCAACCCATTCTATTCCTGTGCCTTTGCAATATTCTAAATCTCCTTACCCCACCTGCCTCAATCTTCCTCCACCCCCAACCCAACCATACTGCACCATCTACACTATCTACATCCATACAACCCATCCCCCCCCCCCAATCCAACCCAATTATACCCACCCCTACAACCACTTGCCCATTTCATCCTCATATCTTTCAACCCATCCCACCCATCCCCACCCATTTTATACCCACTCCCATTCCTCAATACAGGATGCATCTCATCATGAGCATCTGCACTTTGCATGTTGTTCACCCATCTTGTTCATCAAGCGCAAGGTAGGCCATCTCTCTTTGGTTATATTTTTTTCGTTTGACGAACCGCCTGCGCCTACTTGGGCAACTTGCTCAAGGCACTGCCGTATTAAATTCATTGTTTTCTTCGTGAGAGACCTGACAATTAAAACCCAAGGCTTCTTCGTATACCTTGAGCTTTGTAGTTTTGTAGTTTTGTTTGGCCTGGAGGTGTCTGTAGAGAGAAGACATGAGAGTAGCCTAAACTTCCAGTGTTTTTACGTGGGAGGAAATATCAGACATTAAGAAAACTACTCCAAAGAAACCCATTGAATGTGTTACAAACTGAAAAATATTGTTTCACATATCAGTCCATTTATTAGCGGAGAGGTTCTAAGGAAATGAGAAAAAAGTTCAACGGAACTAACGAGTCCTTTCTGATGATGTTTTCACTCAAAAGGTTGTTACCACCGTTTTCAGCCCACTCTATTTCTTTTGTTTTTCCCACTTGGCGAGAGTCAGTAACTGTTCTAAGTTCTGTTTTTCCAGATTGGTTAGGGTTTTTTTTTCCTTCCATTTTTTTTATACAGGGGATGGAGGAAGGGGCCAATAAAAACCTTTGAAAGTCACTCATAGAGAAAAAGATCTCAGAGGTCACTTTTTTTATATCAAGCATTACAATTTTGCTTATACAAATGGAAAATTTGAACGAAATTTGCCCGAAAAACCATCCGAGCACTGTATGGTTTATGGATTCAATCAGTGTAAATAAATGCAATGCAATACCATACACTTTGCAAATGGGTTAAAATTGTTTTGCAGAATTGATAAGCTTTCTTTTGTGTAAATCAAATTTCATGAAAAGGAGAAATATCTTGCCAAGCTTTTTTAAAGCTCAAAGCTAGATTATGAATCCTTAGCGGTATAACATATTCCTTTGCATCGTTTCCCTTCATTAGAAGCTGAACTTTGAACTCTAAGATGGGCAGTAGTTTGTGTACGAGAATATCTAATGACATTTTTCAGTTCGGAAGCTGTATTTGGCACTGTGTTTAACAAAACAATTCGTCAACTTTGAAATAACAAAAAATCACACCAGAAGTGAGTTGAAGGAAAGCTGACGTCTCTCCCCAATGGCATGCAATATAAAATTGTGTGCAGACTTGTGCGTGTGCGTGAACACATGGGGCCAAATGGTTACAAACGGACTGCATCAAAAAGAGATTTAATATGTCTCATCGTTGGCTTTCCAAATTTGCAGAGGTACGTGAAATTGTGCAAGGCTGAAGGATGCAATTTAAGCTACTTATGTCGTAAATAGTGAAGAAGAAATGTAATGAGTTCAAACAAAACAGGGATGGATAATTTAGGCTTATTTAAGTCTAATTTCGTATCAAATCTATGAAGAAAAAATTCTCTAAGAGGAAAAAGGCAGCAGTTGCAGGCTAACGAAGATCTCATTTTTATCCCCCTACTGTCAGTGGCTGAAAACCAATTGCATTAGCGAGACATTAAAAAAAAAACCTGCTGTTCTTCTATACATGTACATTGCACTACCATGCCTGACCTAGTTACCGTGGGTTTGTATTGCCTACAGTGTAAATGCTAAACAGGCTCGTGCAGACCGATCCGTTCACAGACTTCACATATGCCAGTGTACGCCGCGTATGCGTGGCTATAAATGTGTGTGTGTATGGCATCGGCAATTCAGTGCATATCTCTCATCGGAAATGGCCATTGTTGACCCGTCCCATTCCGATAATGAGATCCCCAATTCCTTAAAGTGGTGACTCCGGCTGTGCCGGGAACCGCCGTGCTTCCAAGTTGGAAAGGCCACGTTTCTTTCTTTCGTTCTCTCTTCTTCTTTTTTTGGAAGGTGTGCGTCACGGAGCGTGCATATGCGGGAACATTGATTTATGTCTCATTGCAATGATAATGCGGAAAGATTATACACATACCGGCCGGTGTAAATGTGAATTAAGTTTTGATTGGTTTGATTGTGTGGCGGATTGGGCACTCATCGGCAGAGACAGAAATAGACAAGTAATATTCACAGTTAATGTGATGGACTGTGCCGTCAAATTCCTTTCCCCTCTTTAGATAAGTTTTGTACTTGGCATCCGCACAGGATGCAACTTTACACTACATCGATTTCACATTTGGTACTTATGAGTTTACTTTCTTAAAGCTTAGGCACTCTCCTGAAAATAGTCGGAGCGTATTGACTGGAACGTCGAGTTTATACCTCTGGTTCTTTTCAGAACCATTCTCTTAGTTTGAGAAATTATTCCCCCATGGTGTTTCCGTAAACCTTTCATTCATTAGTATCTCCACCATGCAAAGCCTCAAATCTTACTTGTTTTCAAAGCCTCAAATCTTACTTGTTTTGTATAAGTGCTCTGTAATCCACGGGGCAACTTGTGCTAGCAAGTGACTTGTGACAGAACACCTTAAACTGACTAAGGAGTAGACTCAAATAGCTAGACATTTATTCAACGTTGTTTCTTGCATAGTTTAAAATTGGAAATGGGGCAAATGTTCCACAACCATCCCCAACCCCCCCCCATCGCCACCCCCCATCCCCAACCCCATGAGTGCCTTATTTATTTCCTTGAACCCAGTTGCTGAGGTTGAATCTTAGATTAACTGCCTGATAAGACACATTTTTTTCATATACAGCAGAACACAGGAGACCTTTAATTTCAAGAATCTCTTATGTGAAATAATTGTCCAGATAATTAAGTGCAAGTCTTTGCGATGACAGTGCAAAGGTCAATCAAAGATAACCCCCCAAAATAATAACTGCAGCAGTACACGAGAACATACATGTACATAAATGTACATAATATATGGCCTGTGATCTTCATGATTGTCTGACAAAAGAGGGCAGCATTAAGGTGGAATTCTATATAATGATAAAAGCATACCCTTCCCTAGTTGACATCCCAGTCACAGTGGTGCGCTGTTCAAAGCAGACAATCTTGGACACTATTTGTATCAAGTAATAAAGATGGTACTACTTGTTGCAGTATAAATATTGTATTTGCCGACAAATACATAATTTTGCCAACTAAAATGTTGCCAACTATTAATTGGGGGATGTCTTACACCATCCCAGCGCCCATATCCCCATCTCCCACATTCCCCCTCCCCACACACTCCCCCACCCCTCTTCCCACCCCACCCCCACCCCTCTTCCCACCCACCCCCACCCCTCCCCCACCCCACCCCCACCCCTCTTCCCACCCCTCCCCCACCCCTCTTCCCACCCCTCCCCCACCCCTCTAGATTCGCTTCTGCTTTTTCATCGTGAAACATAGGGTTACATGAAATATACTCCAAAGCTGAATGTATTACATATACCCCGGTATGTATATTGTTTGAATTCAGCTTTGAATCTCTTCGTTTATATCTTGAAAATTTAGGAAAATATTCTCCAGTTCTCATCGCATTGCGTTGTTTCTTTTCCATATTTTATCATGTCTTGAAACGTTAATCAGATGAATCCAGCCGTGGGGATTAGGAAAGTGGGCAATAATACTTCAGGCTTATTTCCATTTGCGACCCTGAGGTGTCACCGCAAGCTAAAGCTTTTAATCACGTTCGGAGATGAATAATTGGAATGAATGCAGGTGTACTTTGAACGATGCGGAAAGCTTCGTCAGGCATTCTTAATGTCAAGTGGAGTCTCAATAGGGAGAGAAGACGTCCGAGTAAAACTAGCAAGACAATGGAAACCTGCAGAGAAAGACGTTTGGTGGAAGTTGGAAAAAAAAAAATTGACAACGCTTTCCAATTCTCTGAAATATGCAGAAAATTTCTGACTTCTTAAAATCAGATTCACCAGAAATTGTTATTATGTAAACACTTTCGAAACTGTCACTGTCTCCGGTCGTTCACCATAGAATATCGGCAAGTTTCTGCTGGTGTATTGTCCTGCAATTGCAGGAATTGTTAAGAAATGTGTCACAGAAGGAAGTGTAGACATAAGAAGATCATACACTCTTTATTGTCATGTGTCACCACAATTAGAGCAACTTCTTGGTTTTCCCTCAAACAAATTTGAGGCATTCCGAGTCGTTTTTCTTCATTTTAAAGCAAAAGAAAGTCTCTCCATTAGTTTTCCCCGTGTTGTCACGGTGAGCATGAATAACTAAACACTTTGATCATTCCTACCATGAAAACTTTGGGTGGGATATTCACTAACACGAGTCTCCTTATTATCAACATAAATTGTGAACTTATTTCCGACTATATAATGCGCTGCATAATTGCTGGTTAGGGTCGGACGTTTTATGGCAACGCCATGAGCGCCCAGCTGTGGCGGATACCGGCGCTTTTACAAGACTTCACTCATTCCTTGTGCGATGGCTTGAATAATGAGGAAATGAATCATTTTTTTTTGCCAGTCCCCGTCTACCCATAGTGTTCCTTTATAGCTACTGTAGTATTGATCTTCATGTAGTGCTCAAGACATAAGTACATACATAAACCATTGCCAATGTATGCAAAAGCACATACATACATACTGCTAACTAAGCAAATACCGCTTGGAGTTCCCTTCTTGTTTTTTTTTTCGCCTCGTTTTAACAGCATTATTTGTTTGATTGGATTCCTGGGTAAGGAAACCAGTGGTATCCTGTTGGGGGATTAATGAGATTCCAGGCCGATTAATTTCAAAGCCTATAGGGTGGGAAATATTCATACGGGTGTCTCATATCTTTGGGGGTTGGTGTGTTGGCAGTAAGTGCGTAAGCATGATGTCGGTGCGCGACTAGGACAGCTAGTGCATTCGTAAATTTTCGTAAATGGATGAGTGCCTGGTTGATGGACCAGTGTACACAACAAACATGCCCCCCATCTGCAGTGCAGCCAAGCTTGCCTTATTTTGAAATCATCTTCATCATTGTAATTACAATTTGTATAAAGTTTACGGCAGAAAGTTGTCAGGATTTTCCTGATTTTTTTGGCCGGGATTTTTTTTGCCAGCATTTTTTTGGCCGAGATTTTTTTTGGCCGGGATTTTTTTGGCCAGCATTTTTTTTGCCAGGATTTTTTGGCCGGGATTGTTTGGCAGGGATTGTTTTTGCCGGGATTGTTTTTGCCAGCATTTTTTTGCCAGGATTTTTTCCTGATTTCAGGACTTTTTTCCAGATATTTTTTGATATCAGGATTTTGAAAGAATCCCTTTTTGAAATCTGAAATCCTGAGGTTTTATCGTAAAGTTTTTTTTTTTTTTTACAAAACACAGGAAATGGGTATTTCAAAGGGGTTCAGGCCGTTATCTGCGGGTAGCAGACACTGATATTTCCGGCCTCGCTCGCTGCAAGCGGGTCACAGACAGATATTTCCGGCCTCGCTTGTTGCGTGTTAACCATCATCCGTTCCGAATACCGCAAAACCTTTGCGTGTATTCACGTCATCCGACTTGAACTGGTTTATGACCTTTTTTTTGTCTTACACCTAAATCTTCAAGTAAGACTTCCCTTGGAATGTTCTTTGATTTTTCAGTCAAGAATTTTCAATCGCATGAAGGCATTAAATCATAAGAGACTCACTTTTGTAAATTCAGACGTGCACATGTTAAACTAATAGGCCTACGGTGTGCTTCGACGGCCAAAATTGATTGGCTTACTGTTTCAAACCAAGCAAGATGGTCTCTTAAGTGGCAGCCTGGTCTCTCGCTTTTTTTCCTTTCATTTTTTTCCCCTTCCTTTAAAAAAAAATCTTTTTCTTGTGTGACCCCTGCTCAGTCAGATAACAGCCTGGGTGGCTGCGCTAAGGTCGCTGACACCTAGCAAACCCATGCTCCCAACTGGAGTCTACCATGGCTCGTGTATGGAAGCATGCCAACAAAAATATGCAGAGAAACTTATTCAGTTCTCTTCTTTGATCATGAGATTTATACTTGCAGTATACTTGATATTTTTCACTTGATGACGACAATTTGTATTTACAAAAGAAATGTAAATCAGTGTTCAAGAAGTGATGTTATTCTAAAGATATAATTCATGTTTCTTTTATAAAAAAGAAAAAAATCTCTCACAAATTTTAAAGATTTATTTACAGTCGGTCAGATACATTGTAAGAGGGTCATTCTAAGCTGTAGGATTTTTTGTTTGATCTAAGATGATTGTTATTTTGAGATGATGCCGATACACTCAGAGGAACTTCAAACAAATTTCAAAATTTGGTTATAAATATAAAACTGAATGAGTGTAGTTAAAATATTAATTTCACTTTGCGGCAATGCTAACTTGCAATTCCTGTTCTGTTTTGCCGCAGTCTGCTTAATAATCTCCCTTCAGTGGACGAAGTTATTCAATGTCATCTTATTAGCATATCATATCTCTCTAGCATTGGGACAGGGGTGTGCATTGTAAGATTGGAGCATGGTCTGTAGAGTGTTACAGTCGTTGCTGGGGGGGGGGGGGGGATGGGGGGATGTAGGCAAGGGGAGACACCTGGTAGGCCGAGGCTACACGCTCACCTCCAGGGGCTCCTGCACCTTTGCATCATTGGATACCTTGTCAGTTCATCACACTTTATTAGTGATTATCGGTGGGCCCATCATACATTTGTGTGCCTTCAGCGTGAACCGATGGCAACGTGTGACCTCTCCGGTTCTGCCATTCGCAACTGCACTATTGCAGATGAGTTCATTAAAACTGTCGTCACAAGCAAGTCACAAGTCCTCTGACAAGTCCAGTCGCAAGTTAATTGGGGATGAACACTAACAGAGGTGTTCTGTCTGTCACAGTTCATTTGTAGAGCTTGGGACTTGACTTGAGACTTGTGATGGACTTGTGATGGACTTGTGATGAACTTGTGATGAAATTGTGATGAACTTGTGATGAACTTGTGATGAACTTGTGATGGACAAGGCAACAACTCTGCCTAGACGCCAAAATAAATACAATTATTAAAATGTTGGACAAGCCTGATCATAATGAAGTCAGATCAACAACTTTTTATTTGCATGGAAAGTATTTTCAAGCACTAAAATGATTATTTTTATGGCTTGTCGGGGTTTTTCCGGAATACTTGTCTTCCTAACTTCCACTGGTCAATAGCATTTTCAATTTTTAAGAGATTACAAGCCGACTCATTTGACATTGCAACTCCCAGTTTATTGGTCTTGGGTTACACTTTGCTGCTATTTTACTTTGAAAAGTTGTCTTGATTTTAAAGGTTTTCCTCAATTTGTTCCCTTTCAGGTTGAAATGCAGAAGGCGAGGTTAGAAAAGAGACAGTACAAGACGTCAAAAGTTGCAGAACTGTAAGTTGGAGACGTGTTCTTGAAAAAAAAACTATTAGACAAATTTTCTTTTGTCACTGCATGCACTCAGCTAATGTAATCCTTTAGCTGTGGTAACTTTTGTGTTATTATTTTGTTTTGTGTATATTTTAGTTTGCATCATCACAACTGAACTTGGGCACTCGGCAGAATTCTAATGGTTTATTTATTGCACCGAGCTAGGGCCCTTGATACAATGTTATGAAATTTGACCTGCTTTGCTAACAAACATGAGCCGGTTGCAGCAATACTGACTTATGTAATAGTGAAATACACAAATGAAAACATCACAGAAAATAACCTTTCATTTGGTGTGACATGGCCATGTTGTGCCAAATGAAAGGTTATTTTCTGTGATGTTTTCTTGCATGGATCTTTCAGAAATATATTTTGGCCTCAGTGAAGAAAAACAGGCTTTGCAAAAAAAGCAAAATCATCTTCAACCAACCTTCTCAATATCTGTAGTCGCTTTTGATTGTTTGCTTGAAATCAACATGAACTACATCAGACTTACTTGTGCTGATGAGCGGGTCAAAATTAGCACCACCATCTTTTTGTACCATAAAATGAGATGGCTTATATGAATTGAGAGGAAAAATGTTTCTGAGTGAATTCTGAGGACAACGGCCAGCCGAAGTCCACACAGTGCTCCCTGGGTGAGATTCGAACCCAAGTCTCACATGTGAACTTAAGGCGAAAAAATATAGCTCACTCTATAAAAACTATAACTGTGTAAGAAACGAAACTTTACTAACCCCATAATGATCATCCCTTGCATGCAAAGTCTTTCAGTTGCAGCAAACTACAGGGTGGTTCAAAAAGAAGGACACCCACTTTTGACAGCAATTTTCACCTACTTGTTGAGGATATTTCAAACATTCAATTTAATGGTATTAAAATACTGATCTTTAAACATAAGTGACGAAAACAGTTATTGCATATTATGTCTCTGAGATATGGTAGTTTAAAATTTCATGTGCCATGTCCTGAGATATGGTAGTTTAAAATTTCATGTGCCAAACCTGTTTGTCCATGGACAGCTTTATTCCATCCGCTTGACTGAGCTCCGGAGCTTGATTTGAAGACGAAAAACACTACACTAGATTTAATGTGGACAACAGTGATTTGATGACTTGTATTCAAATTAGCATAATAACATTATTCTTGCGATTTTTCAAAAGATTTTTTCACCACGAATTGTATTTAAAAAAAAAATACAGTTTAAATAAGTTAAGTAAGTAGGTTAAAATCCTGTCAAAAGTGGGTTTCTTTTTTTGGGGGACCAATCTGTAGTATATAGATGCAGTCTTAAAGTATAAAATCTGCATGCAAATGCGCTGCCGAAGTGTGACATCACCTCCTCCCCAGGGTCAGGTTCACTTCCTCAACAACGGTTCACACACATTCCTTAACAGTGTATTCCACATACGTTTCACACACATGGTCAAAGGGAGCAATACTACATCCTACTGTTGTTTTGCATTTTCACAAATTAAGTACCTGAAAATGGTGAAGTGCTTTGCAGCAGATTGTTACCACACCAATAAAAAAACACAGTTGTGCTTATTTTCGCTTCCCAGAGGAGATTTCAACCAATTATAAAACTTCACAAATGGCATAGCTAAACACATCGTTTGTTTGGGGCGCTGTAGCACACGTTAAATGGTACCTATGGTTTCAACAAGTTGACTTCCGAGTGATGTCACGACTTCGGCAGCGTATAATAGTCTGAACTTTATGAAACTTTGTTCTTGTGTATGTACACGTCCCTGCACCTCTGTAAACTGTTATTTTGACACGCTTGTTTTGCACGCTTGTTTCTCTTGTTCTTGCATGGTTTATTTTCTTTGCTTTCTATGCTAATTGTTTGCTGTAGTGGGGACATTGGGTTCACTATGATGAGACTGGTACAGCGGCCAGACAGGTAATCCTGGCCAACATTTCTTTCTTTTCCTTCTTGTTTTTTTTTTATAATTCATCCGTTAAAAAAAATCCTCTCATCGCTATTCCAAAAGTTTATATTTTTGGGTGTTTTTTTTTCTTCAAAAAAAGCACATAGGGAAACTGTGTGAACCCAATGTCAGTTTCCCTTAGTGGTTTCTTTGAAAAGTTGTACAAAGAAACGGGTTCTCTCTGAGTGATCCTGTTTGCTATTTCCCGGGTTTGCAGCATTGCTAATGTTGCTAGCATCGTGACGTTGGGCATGATCCCTGGCTTCATGGCATATACAGGTTGATGGCTTCTGACTAGCGCCCCTTGAACAAAGACATTTACAAAAATGGGGAACTGCCAACATAGGGCTTGATAGCTCAGTTGGTAGAGCACTGGAACGGCAATCTGGAGGTCGCAGGTTCAGACCCCGCTCCAGTCAATTTCTTTGTTCATCCTTAAAATCAATTTTTGTTTTTAATACATTTTCTAAGATTTTTATTTTTTTTTTTGGAGAGGGGTGGTGGTTCCAGCAGAGGGTAGGGGACAATTTGGGGGACACCACAGATTTCAATTTAATATTGAACCAGTGCTATGTTTTTCGAAAATGGCAAATCATACAGGGGATGTCATAGGGAATATTTTCCTGCTCTTTGTCAAGGTGGGGGCAGGGGTATAAACATAACACCCCTTTCATATTTTGTACACACATCTAATGAATGTAATATTGGAACAACAATTAAAGAAAAAAAAGGGCATTATAAAAAGGCTTACTAAAAAAACTTCTCATGGTCGGGAAAATTCCACCTATTTTATCATCATTGACCCGACCCACTTCTTGAGAGTAAAAAAAATGAGCCATTGTGCATGAGCAAATGTCTCATAATAGGGTGGAAGATTATCAAATGAAGATAGAGTTTCTGGTTTGTTTCGATCTTTTTTCCCCTTTGTGTTGGGTTTTATGTATGTATGTTTGGGCCCCCCTTACCTTCTCTTGTGCAAGTCAACTTGTGCTGCCATTAAATTGCTTTGCAGAAAAAGTAGTAGCTAGAAGTAAGTAGGCACTGTGCTTTTATTAAAGTATGTTTAGTGCAGACTTTCAATTGGAATATTTGAATAGTGTATAGGACCATCCACTTGTGAAGCTATGCACCAAGACTGCGTGTCCAATTGACTGGATATCTAATGAGTGCTCACAGTACCTGACAGTCCGTAACAAAGCTCCCATGTGTCCTAAATTGTCTCTCATTCCACAAGTTTCATCAGTGTATTCCTTGTCAAAAATTTTCTTCCGGCCAGGTTGATAAGTCACTGTCAGCAGTACAGGGACTATGACAGTTTCCTCTCTGCGCCAACGGAAGGCTCCAATCCTTGGTTATCGGATGATGTCTCGTTGTGGGAAGCAGCCACAACAATGTGAGTAAGAGGGAAAAGAGAAGGGTGTGGGGGTGCAAGAAATCTAGCCCCTCCCCCGACTTTACAGCTGGGAAATATTTTGATAAGTGAAAGAGAGGGAGGGGTGTGACTTGACGTAACTACTCACCTCAGTGTACGAATGGATTTTTTTTTAAATTTCTTTCTGCTAAAAAAACAAGGTTTGCTCAAAAGTGCCCTAGGCACTGTAGCTTGCAAGCCTGAAGAAACCTGTAGAGAGAAGACATTGAAACAAAATTACAGTTTCAGAGGTGGGAGGAAAACCCATTTTATTCCTTTCTGGTAATGAAACCAAGGATTTCTCAAAAGTGTCTTAGGCACTGCAGCTCGCAAGCCTGAAGAAACCTGTAGAGAGAAGACATTGAGAAGAAATTACAGTTTCAGAGGTGGGAGGAAAACCCCAGAAGAATATATGCTGGGGAAAACCCACGGAATCAGGTAGGGACTGAAAACCAAATACAACCAAGGTTTGCTCAAAAGTGCCCTTGGCACTGTAACTCACAAGCCTGAAGAAACCTGTAGAGAGAAGACAATGACCAGAGATTATTGTTTCAGAGGTGGGAGGAAAACCCCAGAAGAATATTCTGGAGAAAACCTACGAAATCAGGAAGGGACTGAAAACCAAATCCAACCAAGGTTTGCTCAAAAGTGCCCTAGGCACTGTAACTCACAAACCTGAAGAAACCTGTAGAGAGAAGACAATGACCAGAAATGGTTGTTTCAGAGGTGGGAGGAAAACCCCAGAAGAATAGTCTGGGGAAACCAACGGAATCACTACGCCGACCTATGTGGGTGTGTGCATTATACAGTCTCCATCAGTTTTAATATCTTTTAAAAAAAATTCAACGAGATCGCATATTGGGCGGGAGGCGAAATTCATGATTTGGCAAGAAGTAGGAATGTCAGATCTGTAAGTAAATCACAACCAATCATCACACCAGCAAATTTATAACATGGGTAACACAATTCCAGATACACCCACTGACACTACAGTCTATCGTGCTGATGGAATGAAGTTGTAATATCCTTCTTTCAAACTATCATCCCAACAAAACCAATCTGTTGAAAATGCATTCTTGAAAAATATGAAACAGTTCTGTCTTTGTCTCTGTGACAAACTCGTGAATTGGTGGTTTTTTTTACAAGTTTATTTGTTTTTTTCTTCATATTGGCTCATGTACTTCATAGGCACGAGACACGGTGTGTCCCTAAAAGAGGTGAACTAGGTAGTGTAGGCCGATTTTTTTATGATTTCTTTCCCAACTGCCCAACTAACACATTTCGGGGTCAGTTCTTCTTTCTTCAAGAACTGACTTTCGGAATTGGGTCAGTGGGGCAACGTAAAAGAGATTTCAGCCAAGGCAGTGCTACCATTGAATCATTGGCTTTTGGGAATCAAAAGAGACAGATCTTTGTCTTAACTAAATGGCCACTTCAACCTCGACCGTTCCTGATAGCTGTCGCGGTACCTAATTTTTTGTCCTTGAGGGGCAAAAGACAAAGAGCGATAATACGATAACAAAAAAGCGTTTGGGCTGAACGGCTGAGAGCGTGGTCAAACACTGCAAGTTATCCAGAAACCAAGTGAGTCCCCTTGGGCACTCTCGGCAGCCCACTTTGATGGGAATCTGCGGTGGCCCAGGAATGAAGTGTAAGATCACTACATCATTGCTGATAAGACAAAGTTGTAATCTGTCTTCTGCTGAGAGCATTTAAGTCCATCATTCTGAGCTGTATCTCAGAACGAGACCAGTGCTTTAGTAGCCGCTAAGTGACCTGTTCACAGGAGGATTGCTGTTGCATTTTTGAGGGCAATGTACTGTACACTTTAAGTAAATGTTGTAGATTTGTGAGCGATTGATTTGTCGGTGACCGCAATTGGTACGATTTAACTTATATCCAGAAGGTTAAATTATGGTAGAACAAGGGACATTTTTCGACGGCGTGCCATATTGTGGAAACAGGAAACTGACATGTCAGTCATATTGTTGTATCCGCTCTGTTCACAAGTATCCCCTCACTGGCAAAGAAAGTACAGGTTAGGGTGACCGACTGACGCCATCTTCCGAAGCACGGCCACTGCGTGTACATAGTACAAATCCCCTGGTGTACGTGCGTCACACACAAGGAACGGTGCGCGTCAACCAGCGAAATGTCCCGCCCATGGAACGTCGTTGCTAGGTAAAAGGGCACCCTCTTTTGTCGGCGCACAGAGCCCATAGGGGTGTGCATCCTAACCAGGTACCCGAGTACCCGACTGCTGATGACAGGAACTGGTTCCAGATTATGGGATCGGGTACCCGTAACCAACTTTACTTAGTAACTCTTCAGACAATGAAAAAGAAATGTTTTGAATGCCATTTGTGGGGAATTTTCAAAATGAAAACCAGGCTACATTGGAAACCAAAACAGACTTCATGTTTATGTGCATTTTAATGCGGGACAGACGACGGTCACGAAAGTTGTGGTGTATGCACCGTAAATCTATAAAGGCCTTCAGACAACCTCCTGGATTTGAATCTTGTGGTTGGGTTTCTTTTACGGGTACCCGTGTTTTACTTCAATAGGGTACCGGCCCGGTTCTCGTACTACCCGTAAATGCACAAATAGTGGTGAGTAGAACCATAATGGTTTTGCTGGATCATTTTGTTTGTGTCTAATTTCAGTCTCTGCTTAACCTTCCGGCTTTCTCAGCTGGTTTGCTAACTGACTTTGAGGTTGAAGAAAAATTGAATAAGTGGCTATCGTAGCCTGTTGTTGGCCAGTCTGCTGATGGTGTGGCCCTTAGGCTTTCTTTGATGAGTTGCTGAATGGCTTTCTGGAAGGCATGCCACTTAGATGACACCCCTGTCTAGATTGCTGACACCGTACCTGACTTTATTTTGTGGCTGTTTTGCTGGCCTATGTCCTGGCTATACTGCTGTGTGGATGGCTCTTGTGTTCGACATGTCAACAGCTAAATGGAATTTTCTTGGCAGGTTTTGTAGCTGGTTTTCTTGACAACATGCCGGCTCTCCGATTGGCACTGGGGCCAGCTTGTTACTAGCACTTTTTGAGTCCACTCTAATTTACATTGGCAAGCCAATTGATCATTCAACATCTGCTTATGTAGTGCATGCCGAGGGCTTGGCACGTCTGAAACTTTTGTTGTTTTCTCTGAGCAGGAACCTGAAGGACGTCCCTGTCTGGCGGGTCAAGAAGTGGGGCTTCTCCTTTGACGATCTGCTGAAGGATCCGTTAGGTCGAGACCAATTCGCAAGATTCCTGGCCAAGGAATTCAGTCAAGAAAACCTAAGGTAATGTACGATAGAATTTTTAATTTTAATTTAGAACTTTTAGTTTTCCACCTTAGGTTTGAACATTTAATTGCTTTCAGCGAAACTTTGATTTTAACGGCAAACCTGTCACTCCTTTTCATTCATTTTGTTGCATGAATGTAATGAATTTTCATTAAGAGCTGATACACTAAGGTATTCCTCAGGTTTTTTTCCTTATACTGCTTCAATCCTGATTACCCCTGATTCCTTCTGTCTCTCTAATTGGTTGTTTCTTTTGTTCCTCGCAGCTGCCTCAGAAAAAAAATACTCCCCAATAATACCTTCAAATTACTCAGGCATTTTTCTAGAAGGAACCTTCCTGAATCCTCTGAAATACTAGGGCCAAGTTCGGGCAAGGACCATAAGTCGACTAATGGTTGATTTGTGACGTACTTACGCCTGCGCACTAATAGCAACGTGGGAACGTCGCTAGTCGAACGCTGGTCAAATGTCATCGCAAAACTTCTGGATGCTGGCTCCCTGCTGTACGTTATAAATGCATGCGGCTATTGGTAACTAGCAATGAAACCATTCCTAGTACGTTGATTCCAAATAGTTGACTAGCGTAGTCGACCATCGTCGACTAGACAGAGTTCGGGCTAACTTTAATCGAACTATGGTTAACCAATGGTCAACAATAGTTCTTGCGCAAACTTGCCCCTAGATTGCAGAAAACAAGGGCATCAAGCCCCTTGTAAAGTTATATAGGTTTTGCTGTACCTCCCTCAATCCTCCAAAATCCCCCACTGCAGTGTGCAGGAACCCAGTGGCTCACTCTTTGTACCTACCAAGTTTCAAGAAGCATCAAGCCTCATGTAAATGTAAAGTAATAGTGGCTGGGCTCTACCTTCATCAATCCTCCAAAATCCCCCACTGTGCAGGAACCCAATGGCACCCTCTTTGTACCTACCAAGTTTCAAGTGGCATCAAGCCCCATGTAAAGTAACAGTGGCTGGGCTCTACCTTCCTCAATCCTCCAAAATCCTCCACTGTGCAGGAACCCAATGGTATACACTCTTTGTACCTACCAAGTTTCAAGGAGCATCAAGCCTCATGTAAAGTAATAGTGGCTGGGCTCTACCTTCATCAATCCTACAAAATCCCCCACTGTGCAGGAACCCAATGGCACCCTCTTTGTACCTACCAAGTTTCAAGGAGCATCAAGCCCCATGTAAAGTAACAGTGGCTGGGCTCTACCTTCCTCAATCCTCCAAAATCCTCCACTGTGCAGGAACCCAATGGTATACACTCTTTGTACCTACCAAGTTTCAAGTGGCATCAAGCCCCATGTAAAGTAACAGTGGCTGGGCTCTACCTTCATCAATCCTCCAAATCCTCCACTGTGCAGGAACCCAATGGCACACTCTTTGTACCTACCAAGTTTCAAGAAGCATCAAGCCCCATGTAACGTAGCAGGTGCTTTGCTCTACCTCCATCAACCCTGGAAAATCCTCAAAAATCAAGTAGAGTTTGAAGGAGTTTGGAAGGTTGGGGTTAAAAGGTCTGAATGCTGGAAAAAGGGTAGAATTTCCTCCGTCCTACACCTTAATTTAACAAGGGGATTAATCCTCTTTTCCAGTTAGTAAATTTCTGGCCTTTTTCCATGCAGGTTTTGGATAGCATGTCAAGAGTTGAGAGCCACAGCAATCAGCAAAGTTCCAGCCAAGGCACAAGAGATCCATGAGTAAGTTTTTTTTGTCCTCGGCAGCATGGTGACTGACGTCTGTGAACATGGCCACTTTATGAATAACACTCAAGCCAAGATAACAGTGCTGCCTTTGGAAATTAAAGGGCTGATCATTAGGATGCGTTTGATGTGTCTATGAAAAGTGGGCGTAGCTGCTTCCATGTGTACATTCATGCTGCAGCCAATACAGGTTTTCTAGCATGAACAGTTCCACTCAGTGTAAGATGGTGTCCTCCTCTATTTTTACAGCATTTTAGTTTTTGATGAAAGAAAATAGGATTTTTCCTGTAACCATTACCCCAGTAATAAAAATAATAATAATAATGTGCATGGGCATTGCCAGAATTTTTCTAGAGGGGGCAAAGCACATTGTCCCCCAGAAATCCCTGTACTTTTTCAGCATATTCTCGAATAATAATTTTTCAAGGGTTGGCAGGGACATTTTCCGGGGAGGGGGGGGGGGGGGGGCAAGTTCCCCCTTGCCCTCCCCTCGGGATGCCCATGGTAATGTGGTGGTTATATAGCACTTTATACCTAATGTTTCAAAGTGATTCACAATTATTATCCCTGTTTATCAGGAATAAGGCCATATTTATACAGCAGCTCGAGATCAGCGCAATTTGGTCTCTGCCTTCACAGGTACCAATTCATACTCCTGGGTGGAGAGAGGCAATTGTAGTAAAGTGCCTTGCCCAAGAGCACAAGCACGGCACGTGAGTTGAACACCGTAACCATTGCACCACAGCTCCTCAGTCATCCCAACAAATCACGGTTCTTGTTCCTGATGGGTGTGGAGCTGAAACCTTGGATGACGACAATAATGCCGCTCTTTTCCTTTGCAGCCCTCTTGCAGGACCCAAAATGCTTCCACTTCGGAGACACACCCTCAACAGCTCTGATGAGAAAGTGCTTTTGTACCTTGCTCTTGAGGGAAATAAAGAAGGCTTTCAGTGTTAGCACAAAGGATTGTTTCAAAATTTCAAAAAAAAAAGGTTTCTTGAAAAAAAAAAAATATCTCCCTTTTTTTGTGTAAACTACCAGTGAGTTCCTGTCTGAAGCGTCGCACTGTCCCATCAACGTGGATTCCAAGGTGCGTGAGGTCACGCGGAAAAACATGAAGGGGGCGGCCGGCCGGTACACGTTTGACTCCGCCCAGGAGCACATCTACATGCTGATGCGCAGCGACAGCTACTCACGATTCCTGAAATCTGAGCTGTACAAAGAACTTCTTAATCCCAAGAAAAAGGTATGCAGTCCCGACTTCCCTCCTTATGGGTTGTGTCCTCTCAATATTTTTTTCCCTTTATTTTCTGTCAGTTTATTTTGTGGCTGGTTACTGTTTCCTCGGTCTTTTTTTTGTACATCACATGGAGCAATGGCAGATTTGGCAGTGTTGGAAGTCAAATGGAAGATATTCAAATCCACTCAAACAATTATCATGCATCAAAAACCTAACAATTGCATAAGAAAAAATCTACAAAAACACACAAAATCTACTCTCTCCCCCTTAGAATTTCATTAATGAAATGAGTGCGTTAATACCTTCTTCACTTATTTGGAGTATTTTCGGTATCGTCCTTCATTTCACCTGTTTTTGTCAATCTGCAAAGTTTTCTTTTGTCCCACACAAAAGTACATCCTTCCTACTCATTGTGAACTTGTCATGGCTTTTTCATGATCTTACCAAGCAGTGGTTCATTGCATCCTCATATGCACAAACCATGCACACAGGCTCACCTGGGGGGAGGGTGTCTTTTGCTCGTTGTCACAGGTCAATCAGAGGTCATCCAGTCTTAAGTCAAATGACAAACTTTTCATTGTTCATCCTTTCTTGTGACCTTAACTTGGGGTTTGACTTGTGATTTGACTTGTGATTGGCTTGTGATTGGCTTGTGATTGGCTTGTGATTGACTTGTGATTGACTTGTGATCGAATTGTGATTGACTTACAATCTGGGGTCAGGGCTGTCATTTTCCTTCTTGAGAAACCGCTATTTATGTGCAGACTACGTTCTCTTAAGTTCTTTCCTCCCTTAGACGGCCTTTTGGCCTGTCTTTACAAAAATAGTGAAGATCTTTTTCATGTGTGTGCACAGCCCAGTCCAAAGAAACACTGGTTACCGCATAGCTTCCATATGTAAACCTTCTGAGGGAATCATTTGAAAACGTAGCGGTAAAACTTTAGCCCATAATCTTGCATTCTTTTGGCTTGATATTTTTATTTTGTTTAATGAATCTTGACTTGCATTTGGCATTGTGGAATCGCTACCTGGTATAAACAGCATGTAAAGTGCACGCTGGCTAGCAGTTCTCTCCAATTTAAAAACAAAGTTGAGGGCAGCAGATGAATTTTTGGGGTGCCCTTATTGACAGCTGAATTTATCGTATTCAAATGTGTTGGCTTCAGCTAGGGGATAAAGTCAAGTTGAAACGACATTTTTGGCCATATTTCCAAGGTGTTAAGTAAACCAATTCTCGTAATCACAGAGGACAGAACTTCCTTAAAGTGCCCTCGATATACAAGTAGCTGTGCACCGGCTTCAATACTCGGCACCCAATTGCACTGTTGAAGTACTTAAAATGTAATACCATAACAAATTTGACGGTGCCATTGTACAAAAATTGAACATACGTAGTGCATAGCATTTCACCTGGAGTGTTAAAAGTTTGTCAATATACACAAATGATCTTACGCAGACATGCAAACAGTATACTCTTTTGGGGTCATTTTTTCCTTTCTCTTGATTTGAAAAGTCTGCGTGGGAGTTAATAAAGTACATGTAGTCCATCACTCTGGCCAAAATAAGAAGAACCTGTTACAACTAATAATGTAGTAACAAACGAATAATGATCACCAACCGATGAAACAACAATTGACCGATACCATATCACTAACCGATAATGTAATAAAAATTGACTTATAGTGTAGCAAATGTTACTACATTATCAGTACATTTCTGTTACATTTTCGGTTAGGACTGATAGTGCAACAACAATTGACTGATAGTGTACTACATTCTACTACATTATTGGTCAATTATTGTAACATTATCGGTTAGTGGTACAGTATCGGTCAATTCAGGCGATTCACAATGCAGAGCCCCACCAATAGTTTGACACGGAGAGTTCATTTTTCCCAGTGCATTGTGGGAGATGGTCGACAAATTCGCAGCATGGGACATTTGAAATTGTTCGTTTTTTCTGGTCAGTAGTTTCGTAAGCGTATGATTCGAGTATATGTTTGCACTTTTCTTTTCTTCGTATCAATATGGTGATTTTTTGTAAGGCGGCAGAACGCTATGCCCCTATCTATAACATAATAGCTCAAGTTGTCTACTGACATTCATTCAAATGAACCATATTTTGTCGACCGTAAACTTGAAAAGTTGACTATCCATGGCAAACTCTTGGTGGCGCACTGCATTGTGAATCGCCCGAATTGTTGTTACATTACCGGTTGGTGATACGTTATTCGTTTGTTACTACATTATCAGTTGTAACAACCTGGGTCAAATTGGTCTGGCACACACTCTGTAGATTTCTATTTGTTAAATGATAAACAGTTAGATATAGAAATAGCATCCATAACAATTGGGAAAAACTTACTCGTCGAAAGCTAATTTAAGTAGTGATATGAGTTTGGGGTATGGAGACAAAGATTTGTTAATTTCGAAGAGTTTCACTTGTATTCCCAAACATTTCAAACGCTGATTACGTTGATGTCAGACAATTTAACCATGACTCTTTCTCTCTCCTGTTCTTCACTTCCAACCTTGTCCTTCCATCATCATACTCGCTCAACTCCCTCCCCTTGGACTGTTCCTTTCAATTTTTCCCTCTTTCTTGTAACACTCACACTCCTCTCATCCGTTCCCCTCATTCTTCCTCCTTCTCTCTCACTGGCAACTCCTCATGTGACTTTTTTTTTTTACGCTGCACATAGTGCCTGAGTCACTGGGAAAAGGTATGGTTCCTTAATACATGGCTTGCTTTTTTCCCCCATATTTTTTAGACACTTGTTTCCCAATTCACCACGTTGTTATTTATCGAATTCCGAAAAACCAACTACCGACTGTTATCATTAACTACACGTACGCACCTTGTTCGTGCTGAACCAAGATGGCTGCCATTCCAGGACCATCCGACCAATCAGAAGGCTTCTTATCCAGTGCCTTATGGTCCGCTGCTGCGGCAGCCATCTTGTCTCAGTGAATGAGTTGACCAAATTTTCTTTTTCATTGTTCTCATCCATTGTAGATAGTCACAAAGTTTTAGGGGAAATGTTCTTAGATCCCCTGTTTGATTGCAACTTTCAGTTTGTACTGTAATCTAGCTTTTCTATTAGTTTATCTAATTGGTAATATTGAAAGGAAATATTTTGAACTTATAGAAAGTCAAAATAGTCATTTAGCCTGTGATATTTAAAACTGCAAAAAAAAAATGAAACGTCAAGTGGTCCAGGACATATAGATTGGAGACTCTTGGTGACCAGATGTGAAGGTAGTTAGTCTAAAACAAAATGGCTTCTTTCTTTTGTTGGGAACTCAAATCCTCAGTTGGCCATTTAGATAATAAGCAGCCTTCAGAAACCAAGGAATGTCCAGCAAATGATTTTTCTCTTGACACAGTCTAGTCTAGTTACTTATCCTCCAACTTTGAAATATAAAAAAAAATTCAAATAGCTGGTAATTTCCATCCCTTGGTTTTGTCCAGAGTAATTACAAAGTTTCCTTTGTAGGTAGCAGCAACAGACAGTGCTTCCACTTTTTGTAATTATTTTAAGAAAGAGTTCTGTGAATCCTGTTCAGTTCGAAGCCTTTTTATCTCTAGGTGAGAAATCTCATCATCAACTAAAATGGGGGAAAATCATCTTTTCCATTTAGAACAGATTTTCTTTCTCTTCTGTATTGATAACAATAATGGAAATCTACCCCAGGCAGCCTAACGTTCCAATGGGGCAATGTGTTATCAGGCTTAAGCTGGTGCCCGGTCTCTGACCGGTACCCTATCCGAGGCATCATTAGAAGGGGTTGACTTTACTCAGCAGTAGGATATTGTTCATCGAAACTTAGAGATCTACTTACGGACGTTACAAAACGTTTTTTGTTTCAAGCAAAAAATCATTAGTTTAATGTAGTTTCAAGTCGAATGTTTCGTTGTTTGTGCAGGAGTCCCTCAATGATTGAGTTGAAACTTGTAGGGGATTGATATCTGTTTATAGAAAACCAGTTCTTAGAGCACCGCCATTTTGATTTGTTGTTATTTTTTATTTGGTTCACTTGTATTGAAAAAATAATTCCCCAAAAGCACCTATGGCTCTGTTGTTCATTAGCCTAGAGAAACATGTGGAGGGATAAAATGTTCAGTTTTAGAGTTCTGGAGGTTTTTAGGGAAACATCCAAATACAATATTTTTTAGAGTAAGCTAAGCCAGGGACTATAATCTAAAACACCTCAGTCCAGACCTGCCGAGTGGATTCAAACTTGGGTCACCAAGATGGAAAGATAGGGATGTACTCCTCCGCCGAAATTCTCGATGTGACTATGACCACCCGCAATCTTTTTCTTTTGTCACAACTCCCGTTGGGGTCCCTAAGAATTTTCACCTGGACATTTATTTATTTTTTTTCTAAATGAAATTGCTGTTTATAAACTTGAAATGCTGAGAGATAAAATCAAAATTGAACAGTCTAAAATTGAATAAGATTTAGTTAATAGTTTTAAAGCAACGAGTACATGTACTTGGTTTTTTTCTGGAAATGTCATGGCACTGCTTAAATGTAACCCCAAACTCAGAACTTACTTTATTTTAATTTCTCTGAAGAAACCACTGTGTTCAAGGAACGTTCATGTGCCATTTGTTGTGCTTTTGATATATATGTTCTTTGTCATATGTTCTTTGTCATGGTCTTTGAGCAGACCATGATGAAAAGCAGTGCTTTTCATCTGAAAGGAAGTTTCCTTTAAGACACAAAGAGACAATTAAGTTATATTTTTCATGTCCATGATGTTCGTCCTTCATCTTGATAAATTTATCCTGACAATTTAGATAAAGGTGGGGGAAAATAGCCCTATGGTGTTTTGTCAACATGTAAGACTGTAGTAATAGGACATATCCGTAAATTAACGTTATGACAAATTTGTTTTGATGTAGTTTGGAAATTTCTAGTCATGATATGAAACCGCCCCCCCCCCCAAAAAAAAAACCCCAAAATATTAATTTTGTTTTAATCACTTTCCAGTTGGAACATTCCTTGATTTGGTTTGCAGTGCACATTTGGTTTTTCTCTAGATGTTCAGTCTTCTTAAAGTCCCCTTTAGTCGAGATGAACCAGTTTAAAATAGCTTTTAGTTGTCCGTGTTTTAGTCATTTCTATGTTAGATATTAGTTAGGTTAGTGGTTTTGAAATGAAGGAATGTATATTGCCCTTCAAAAAAATTACTAGCCTAAAATGCTAAACTGTAAACGGCCACAGTTCCTAGATCTAAAATGGATATTAAACCTTAATATACAATAGGGCAGTATCGTACTGATTAATAAAACAAAAGATAATTTGCTTTCATTTAAAAATATTAAGGTTCGTTACCTGTGTTACCATGGCGATTGATATCTTAATGCTCTTGTAATATACCTTCTTCCTTCCTGGTCTGTTTGCCGGCTTCGTCCAATCAAACTCGTCCACCATGGCAGACTAAATCACTCATACCCAAACTGCCAAGTCTGGCTAACCGGATGGACTTCTCGGATAAGTGATAACAACGGTACTGGGTTCACCTCCCCCCTCCTCATAATCCTCACTCCCTCTTCCTCACTCTATCTCTTTCTCATCTAAATCTTACCTCTTATCTCTATGTTGAATCAGTGTTTCATTCTACAAAGCACACAGAGTTTTATCGTTAGACACCGCTGGTTATCCAATCAAATGTCACGGTAGACTTTTGGTGCATGTGCTATGAGCCAGTTTGTGCATGATTGATTGGAATGTGTAGCGTAGGTTTCAGCCTGCATGTCCAGGCTGTTTTGCCCATTTTCTGGCTTTTATTTTTTTACCAGTTTTCATTTTTTTGGTGCATGATGTAACATTCCTGTTTTGGTTTTTAATATGGATGACCAATATAAATGCATGTTGTCAACTTTGAAGGGGAAAAAAACTCAAGTTTTCTGAAAGCGTTTTTAAGTGCGCAGTTTAAGTGTCAAGCCATATGGCTTGGAAATTGTTTCACAGGATTTCAGCACATTGTTAAAAAAGTCAGAACTTGAAAGAATAAAAGCAAGTAAATGAGAAGAAACCCACATTGAACATGGAACCTTCCATTCAGAGAAGAAACCCACATTGAACATGGAACCTTCCATTCAGGGTAGGGATGGGCCGGAGTTCATTCAGTGCTAAAATTTAAGGGGGAAAATAGAAAAATGAACTTTACAAAATTTCAAGGGAGATCGGAATTAACAAATTTGGAGGAAAGATTCAGTGTGCGCTTGCTATTCACAAGAACAGTGCATCAAGAACAATATTGCATGAATGTGTACAATGCTTGCATTTTCACTTGAGGATTGAGTTCTAATTGGAAAGTTGACATCTTTTTACAGTGATATGATGCGTGCTATTACGTAGGTATAGACAAAACCAAACTGCAACCCTTAATGGTATTAAATGAAAGGAGAGACAGGTCTGAAAACTAAATTGCTTGTTCGGTTTTCATGAAGAGAAAATTGTTTTCCCTTTCCACTACTTCTTTTTAAAAGTTTAGTGTTCCTAATAACTGAATTTCCCACTGGTATGAAGCGAATAAGCTTGATTTTTTAAGGCCTGTACTGTCAGCATGATTTGTGCATGGTTGGACCATTGGAATGACTTTTGTTTTTCATTGACGGATTTGACAATCACTTGTGATTAACGATAATTTGTTTGGGGATTAAAGTTATTCCTGTTGTAAAAAAAAAATTCTTTTCCCTCACCTTTTTTCCACCAGTTTTCCCCTCACATTACTAACTTCCAGATTCTGACAGCTCTAGACAAATCACCTTGGAAGCCCCCCTGCAGAGACTATTTCGGCCAATCACCGCTTGGCATGTGCATGAAAAACTCATGAATATGCATCCTGCCTCATGACTATGTGCATGCAATATTTAACCAATGAATGAATGACATCGCTAGCGGCATGGCATGAAGAAACACCATGCATGTGAACACTCATGTAAACGCTACTAACACTTCATGATAATTTTAGGGAATCAAAAATGAAAGGGAAAAACTGTGATTTTGCTAGCTACACGGGGTGTGATCTTTGAAACTGAAATGTGTTGGTATACCTACCTATAATTCCAATACCTATAATTCCAATATGTTTTATTCATTCGGCCTTCAGGAATCAAGGCCAAAGGAATAAATGATTAATTCCTTCACCACTGTTCTGCAGTAATATGTAGAATATCACAACTCAAATGCATATGTCTGTAATCACTGGTACATGTACATAACATTTCTGTGTAGCATTGAGTTTTTGTCCTTCACTGACATAACACAAAACCTAACATTGAAATACAAAATTACATCTAAATGCAAATAAAGTCCATCAACATTCCATCTGGAACCAAAGCGAAAAAAGTCTTTGAATGAAATGGCATGTGTAACAATAACACGACCACTGTCGATGTACTGAAGCACAATGTCCTCCATCTTGGGCATATTTGTGATGCAATCAAGCTAAATGAGTCGTTTGTCGGGAATTTTCATTTGGAGATACAGGCCAAAATAGGGCCACTTCATCCCATCACTTCATTGCATCACTTGGTGTTCCAACTCTCATAATATTTTAACTAAGGATGGCATCAGCATGCGGTTTTGACAGCAGTAATGCTGAGATTGTGCTCTTTTCAAATCTGTAATAAAAAACAAATTTGACCCGGGTCGACAAACGACTCATGTAGCTTGATTGTAAGGCCAGTGTATATACTCCACAAATTTTGTGGAGTATATACACTGGCCGTACAAAATTTGGTTATCAATTGTCTCCATTTTTTCTCACTTTTGGGGATTTGAGTAGGAGCAAACTTTATAACCAGTGAACCATACACCAACTCCACACATCCTTTCCATGAAATAGGATTCCTTATAAAAAGCCACAACTGAGACCGTGACAAATGCTATCAAAGAATTTGTTGGTTTTGGAGTGCAAGAGCCTCAGATTTTCAATCCTGTAGAGACACAAAGGGAGAAAAAAAGATTGTTGTTTGCATTTTTTTTACGTAGAAATCTGTAAAGAATTTGAAATTCTAGTTGACTTTAATGCTGAACGCATGATTAATTTTTTAAAGACTTTCAAACAAAGTGGAGACAAATTCAGAAAAGACTCGCATTGTGTTATGCCGTTTCAGATTCCCCAATTTCCGCTAGTATTTATCACTGCAACCATGGGAAACCGTGGCGATGGCAAAAGTCTGCAGAAGTCAAATCAATTTAAAATTTTGTCCGTGCAATTTTTTCCCCCTAGATGACAGTACGATATGAATCTAACTTTTTAAATTATGGTTAATTTTATCCATATTTGCCAATTCGCTGTTAATTACACAGAAGAAGTAATGAGGTATGTACTAATTTTAACAAATTAAGCGACTTTGTCTTTGGTGGGCTTTCCTTCTTGATAGAGTTATACACATTGTAAACTCGCTTTCACATCTGTGGCTTTAACTGCACCATTTACTAATAGCTGCACATTGTCACTATTTTGTACAGTAAACCAGTAGAGCCAGGACTAACCAACACGTAGATGGTGGTGATTCTTACAGCCGTATAGATAGTGTTTTCTGTATACTGTATGTACATAATGTAAAGGCTTCTTTAGCGTCATCTACAAGGCGTAACGTTAACTGTGTCTCAAGCAGTTTCCAGTGTCATCACAAAGCGTACACAAAGCTACGCGTACATGCTGTGTTCAGACTAGAAGAGTAGTTTCTGTGTTCCATGGTATATAGATTTTTGGAAAACTGCTAAGTGCACAATTTTCTGCTGACTGAGTACATCAGTTTAGCAGAAAAAAAGCTGAGAAAAGTCTCAACCCATATATGTTGCATTTTCACCGGTAACCCTAGCAGCCGTTTTGAGATTGGCCCCCTATTCAGAAGGTTCCATCCGTACCCTGGGCAGCTTGCTGTACACACTGTGTGGTCTTCTTTCTTCATGTCTGATGTATCTTGCTGTAAAGGCCATAGTCCTGGCCCAAGACGTCAGTGATCAAGAGCGATAGTTGCATTGTTGCGTACCGGTAGCACCCTTGCGCAATTGTTTTTTAAATTCTCTCACTAACGTCTTGGTCATTTCGTAGCAATGGGGAGGGGCCATTTTATGTAAATAAGTCTGTATAAATTCAAACAAACACAGTTCCTTTATATAGCTCCATGCTTGATCACCGCACGTATAGCGCGTTATGTTTACAACCCTCGGGCGAGCCATTGAACCTTTTCTCAATCGCTGATTGGTTCCCTAGGAAAGCGACGACGCTTGATCACTGCACGTAGGCCAAGGCGTATGTTTACAACCGTTGGACGCGGCGAGCCATTGAACCTTTTCTCGATTGCTGATTGGTACCCCAGGAAAGCCTAGGGAGAAAGTAAAGAAACGGTTTAACTGCTGAAACGAAATGGCTAAGACGTTAGTGCGAGTAGGCCCGCTGGGCTAACTATTGTGCCAATAGAGGGCGCACTGTGCACCGTCCACTATCGATCACTAGCGTCTCGGGCCAAGACTATAAAGGCCCTAACTGTGCAATTCATCTTCCAGCATGTCCACTTTGCTGCTGCACTTTGGAACTTCCAACTGACACGAATATGTTCTGTTCAATAAAAAAAAAAGTGAATCAGAAATTCTATTGCATGCATCATGCATGTGCAATTTTGTCTGGTTTGCTGGGGACAGATTTACTTGTCCAGTCTTTAAAGGCACATAGGATCATCTGCTTTTCATGCATTTTGTTTGTTACCAATAATAACGCTACTCAGAATCCAAAGAAGAATGTTCAAAACCTAACCCTTTGAAATTTCAACTAAGTGGATGCTACACTTTTTGAGCAAAAACACATACATAACCTTTTGATAACGGAACATGATTTCGTCATAGTAACTCTTTAGTCCAAAAATCAGTCAATTGTCTGATCGTTGGAAATCAGCAACATTTCTGGGTTTCTTCTGAATGGCAGCAAGCCGGACGGACTAATTTGACAGGGTGTTTTAAGTACCAGTATGATCATTAATCCAAGTGAGATTTTTGATGATAATTCTGTAGGTTACATTTGGGATAAATGCAAATGATCCTATATGCCTGTAAGGCCTTCTCATTTTACCGACAGACTTTGTGGCAAACTTGACAAGAATGCTTTGCACATTGCAGTTCACTACCTTGAGGTACTCGGCATTTCCCCTGAACAGCTCAAACCTATGGCCAATGTGCATCACTCTCGCACTGCGGCTGAGCCCGATAAATTGTCTGACTCTCTGCTGATCGCTTTTTCTCTGCTTGCACATTGTGAATTGCAGTTTTCAGAATTGAATCCAATAGGATTCTTTGGAAGTAACCTTTCTTGCATCCATGCTGAAATGGCCCTCTGCATTTTCTCTTTTTGTTGGTGAGGGTTTAAGTCTTTCCTCGTCAATGTAAAATACAAAGCATTTATTTCATGTATTGCAAAGAAAGGTCATAACATGCAGCAAGGCCCAATCTCACCGAGTTGCTTCTATAAAGCAAAAATCACTGGAGAAGTAGTTTGTATAAGCGTACCTTTACTTAGTGATTCCGTGAAATTAGCATCAGCAGTGCCTTACAGAGGCCACTTATCACTGTTGCAGTTCCTTTTTTTCCCATCAATCGTTTGTGATGTTCTAGTGTTGATTTTTTTATAAAGAAGTTAAATGAAACTTATGATACATATGTTATTTTACTATACCTCATACATATTCATGATGGAGAGTTGAATTCTCAATGGTCCATTCACTATCACGTGTCAGCCGCTATTTTTGCTGTTTACCAAGCAGACGTGCAAGTATTCATGCACAGGGTAAATATGCATGCATAGTAGACTATGGGATAGTCCACTACGTCGGCTCACGTACATGTAAATCAGCATTTTCCCGAGCTCAATGATGCCGAACTGGAGAATATTGTTGACAATAAAGGTGACGCCTCTACCCAAAAAAAGTTGTCCACAGTGCGGTAGAAACTCTTAAGAGTTACTACATTGCAAAAGAACTGAACTTTTCTGAGGTTGAGCAATATACTTCTGGTGAGCTGGACAAGTTTCTCCAAAGATATAATGCTGAAATGCATACTGCAACGGGAAAATTCAACAACTGAATATGTATGAGTTATAGTAAAACAAATATAACATGGTTTATTTTGGGAGGATAGTCGATATTAGCTCCCCTCGGTATTGGAAGTTGACAAACTAGTTCCCTCAGCAACCTTGGGGAGCCAATATCAACTATCCACCCTCAACCCATGTTATATTTGTATACTATATGTTATCCGGGAGGAAGCGCTGATCTTAGGGGTAACTTAGTGCTCAAGGAGTCAATTATATACTGTGTTTTTACATTCTTAAAATAATTCGTGTGGTAGATTAGGGTAACCAAGTTCCCTTAGCTGTGGAAAGAGCTGGAATTTTGGGGTGCCTGTGCACAGGAAATGAAGACTAGCGTTCAGATAATAATGAATAATTTGAGAAATAAAATGTTAATTTCAGTGAGGTGTAGCTTCCGTCACAATTTCTTTCCAAAACAAAGTTGAGTTTTTTTAAGCATAAGCAAGCTGCACAAAACATCTCATGTTTTAAGTTCTGTTTTGTTTCATCACCATCAAAGTTGTTTGAATTATTTTTAAATCCCTCCCCTCACCATTCTCCCCCACTACTCACTGAAAAATTGCAACTGCATTTGTTGGCTCTGGGGAACACACTTCAAGGCAATGACAGTCCTTTGAAAAGTGTGGTAAATTATCACACACTGAGGGTTATTCTATGGTCCAAATACCCAGAGTAGTCAAACTGTATAATCTCACCCTAAACTCACTGGTTCAAACTCGAAGTGGCACAAAGGAAGCGATATTATTTTCAATTCATATGTCCCTTTAATGCAAGTGAACAAGACTATAGGCTTACCTGGTCAAACTTGACCCAAATGTCTCAGTTTCAGACATGAAAGACTTTCGGCAGGTTTGAAATTTGCGCCCGTATCACGTATCCCTACAGATTTGACATGTGACGTCATCACTTTGTGCGTTTTTCTCAAACGTGATATGAGAAAGTGACACTGGAAGTACGTGTGGAAGCCAATTGATATGGGATCAGTGCATATGAATTTCTGTTTTTTCGCTCAAATTTCTTCCAATTTAATCATTATATCAACCTCTCGTTCTCAAATTTACCAGACATATTGGATTGCAGAAGGAAGCTCTTAAGAGTGATATTTTTTTTCATGGTGTACAATGAATTTTGAACATCTTTTATGACATAACATTGTGACTTGGTTTCCTCAGCAGTAATACTTACCGGTACATGTGCAGAAGCGTAATGTCAAAACTGAAATTTGAACACGATCTCACGTACCGGCATGCTTACACGTATCGGCTATAGTCATACGTATACGGATATGTAGCATATTTTTCTGGATGCCGAAAGTATCTATTAGTAACCCTCAGCTACTATCAGTCAGTCAGACAGTCAGCTGGGCAGTCAGTCAGTTAATCAGAGGAAAATAGACTGGCCTTTTGGAGAGAAAAAGAGGGTTCTGATAACATTCATGTTATGTTGTCGTGTTTGTTTGTCTTTTTTTTATTTGGCTGATATTGGAATCTTGAGGTCTAGACCTTCCTTCAGTGCTGAACTTACAGTAGGCCTAACATGGTGGCCTACATTTCTGTGTGTGGGGCATTTCCTATAAGTAGTAATTTAGCAATGCTTAGGCAGACTACGTATGTAGTGGTTTTTATATTCCCTCTTAAATTTAGTGGATATCCACTCCTCTTCATAACATTGGAGGATATAGGACATCGCCCCATCGTTCATTGCATTGAGGAATATCCATATTCTTTAATGGGTGGGACTGAGTATTCAAATCCCTTCATGACACTGATGGATCCCATCGTAGCATTAGTTATATCCTTTTCCTTCATATAACATGCAGTTGTGGATATCCACAACCCTTCACATGGATGCATTCATGTGCCTTCATTGGTATCCACCTCCCTTCATCATACAGGTGGATATCCACACCCCTTCATTTGACAATTGTGGATATCCACTACCCTTCATTTGACTACTGTGGATATCCACACCCCTTCATTTGACAATTATGGATATCCACACCCCTTCATTTGACAATTGTGGATATCCACTACCCTTCATTTGACAATTGTGGATATCCACACCCCTTCATTTGACAATTTTGGATATCTACACCCCTTCATTTGACAATTGTGGATATCCACACCCCTTCATGTCATCAATGTAGCACACATTGGTATCCACCTCCCTTCATCATACAGGTGGATATCCACACCCCTTCATTTGACAATTGTGGATATCCACTACCCTTCTTTTGACAATTGTGGATATCCACACCCCTTCATTTCATCAATGGATTTCTTCATGTAGCACACATTGGTTCCACCTCCCTCCATCATTCTATTGGATGTCCATGTCTCTACAACCCCATTAGTGGATATCCACCCCTTCTCATGATAATTGGTTGATATATCCCAGCTGCCTCACCGGGCTGATATCATGTAGCTCATGGCATTCATTGCAGCATCCACACTAACATCTCACCTGTTTTTGAACACCACGACCCTTCACCCTCACCCCAAATCTGTATACTCACCCTTTAACCAACTCTTCCCCTACCCTACAAAATCCTCCAGTCAGACTGTCACAGTATTGCTACTAACACTACGCCCTGCCATAATTGCTGCCAGTGTCGGTCCATTAAAAAGTTGACAGACGTACAGATAGACAGACAGTTGGTGACCAGCCCAACTGACAGACACTGGTTAGATAGAGGCAGATAGTCACCATGGGACTGACATGTGGACCAACAGACAAAAAACGACCACCAGTCAGATAGCATTGATGTGTCAAAGACAAACAAACAAATCAACAAATGAGCTGACAGACAAACAGCACATTACACAGAAATATATACATGTATACATTGGTCCGTGTAGTTTGGATGGCTTTTTTTACTTCATGTGTACATATTCACAGTCTTTGTCCAGTTGACCCTGACCCATTCACAGAGTTGGTTTCGTAATGTGGTATTGTCTTATTACTTTCTGTGAATTAGTTCCAAAAATTCCTACTAACATACCAGTAGGTAAGGTGCCAAAAGCCTTCATCCGGGCCATTCCAATAAGGCGCACAGGTGATTTTTAAGACAGTAAATGCCTACAAAGAAAATCAATTTTTTTTCCACCATGATCATTTTGATTTTGGGGGTGGGACATCAAAATGGTATAAAAACTGTTATTGGTGTTTTGTATTAATAGATTTTATGGAAATGGGCAGTGTGGATATTTTCATCATTTATAGGAGCCATATTGGCTCCTTACCGCAATTTTTAAGGGAACATTTTTCACGTATCGTTTGCAGGATAAAAAAAAAATTCAGGATGTTCATGTCCACAGGGAAAGACTTGATGATTTGGCCCTTCTAGATACACCTTAATTAACACCTGTCTGTCTTGTTTTAGTTGATTGACTGTTGTCAGTGTATTTGGTCACCTGATTGTGCAGTATTCGCAGCAATGTGTTGAGTGTATGTGTTTTTGTGTACCCAGATTACTTTTATTTTAACTTCATTTTTTTGTTTTGTTTTTGTGTGTTTTTTAATTATTATTTATTCATTTATTCTTTTATTCTTTTATTTTTGGTTAAAGTAACAACTAATTTCATAGCCATCCTGAATTACTGAAACTCAGAATAGCGTCTAACAGAATCACCCACATTCCTCACAATTCCTTGTTAGTTCCTCTGTTTTAATATTCCAATGTAGCGTTTGAAAAAAATGCTTGTTCACCCTAGAGATGGATATGAAACTACTGATATTTTGTTTGTTGCCATCAAATATATTGATGTAACACACTGAAATGAACTTATTCCCAACTAGTTCAGACTTGCAAGCGTTTAAAAACAAGGGGCCCAAAACATTGGAATTCAGTTTTGATTATCACATTGTAACACGTGTTTTTGTTTTTATTTCTCTCTTCTCTTGCTCTCTTCTGGACCTCTCACCATGCACCTGTACTACACCTCTCTATTCACTGTATATCCCCAAACCTCATCTGTACCTTAATCCCCCCCCCCCCCTTGCACCCTTCCCTGACCCTCTTCTTACCCCCTGTGCAACTCCCAATCCTATCTACACCTCACTCTTTCATCCACCCTCCTTCTTTGTCTGACTTTTTCTCCATCCCTGCACCCTCTACAGCAGCAGAGCAAGTTTCTTCACCATCTGACCAGCTTTCATATAGGATGACAAGAAGCCAGCGTGGTCGTCTAAAGCCCCCGTCCTTGCCCCTCCCTCTTACCCCTCATGTAATCCCCGACCTCCAACTTCCCGGACTTAATAACAGAGAGCAACAATGCCCAGGCATGGAAGGACTCCTAGACACTGCGTCCCGCCAGAGATGAAGGACTCAAGAAAGCGGGAATGCATCCAGAATCTTGGATGTGATTCAGTCGCCACAAATTACGACAATACCAAAAGAAACAAAACCACCACTGTGATGGTCTCTGCATCTTTTGTACAGTTCTTCTCGTCTCTGATTGATTTCCCTCCTACTTTTTTGTCGTGGATCAATTTATGCTGCGATGAATCTTAGAAGGAGAGAATCAAACATCAGCCATGTTCTGCTGCCGTAGTCAGTAGCTTGAGCAGTCTTCGACCTTATTTGGATTTTGCAAACCCAACATTGCTATTGCAACACCGAAATGTTTTGCTTCGCTGCCAGAAAAAAACAGCATTTGTTTATAAATAACCAACCTACATCAGCATTGTCAAACTGCTCAGGCATTATACATTGCTGCTAGCCCTATGTCCTCTCCTATGACATGGAAATGGACATCTTTGATTGCTGCAACGTAGTCCTGTAGAATTTAATCCACCTGCACACATCATGCGCCTCAGAGGGTTGTCAGGTCCCCAAAGCATCACTTTGCAGCAGAAAGTTCCTGAGTTTTTCTGGGAAGGCAAGCCCAACTGTACTTCGCTGCTCATGAAAGAACCCTTGACTGAGATAGTATATGCCTGAAGAACCAAAGATAGTAAGCAGCAATAGTAATGAGTACGAGTACCAAGTACGTTTGAGCGCACAGGACAAGGAAGGCCAGACGTTGGAGCTACACATGTATGTGGCCCAGCCATTGACACAGCAGGAAATTGCTCAGCTGATGGTAGATACACACATCAAACTGTCGTGCCACATGTTGAATACAGTCCTCATCATGCAGAGCTCCTGATGAATATTCAATGTTTGTTACCCATCATGCCTGTGCTCGCCTGTTTGTGGAATGCCGTCAAAGTGTGTACTAGTGCAGAGGGCTTTTGCGTGTCCTTGGAACCCTCAAACGGAACTCATATTGCTAATGCGTCAAAGAAATGAGTTTTACAAAATTGCAACTCTGACTACAACGGGAGCAGTTCCGATATCTTGGTTGCACTTTGAGGTACACCTGCCCCAACACTGTATGTTTTGCCCGGAGTTAAGAATAATCAACTGAGTGTCACTGTAAGACTGAAATACCTTCCCCCAAACTGCATGCAAAGTGTTAGTATGTAAGCGGATGGAAAAAGACTGCATGAATTTTTTGTAGATTGATCAGTGGAAGCCAACGCATGAGGATAACTGTACAAGAATGATCAAGAACAGTGTATACAGGTGTGGTGGAAGAGGGTTAACTTCTGAAGATCAAGACCAATTTGTTTAAAGCCTAGTTTTCATATATATCTCAGAGACGCAGAGTCCACCTGCTGGCATTCTGTGTGTAAAATGATGTTTGCATGAGTACAGTGAATTGAGGTCACCTTCTAATTTTAACCAAAACAGGAAGCCATAAATGTGAATTAAAAAAAAAAATACAATTGCTGTACTTGACAAATATTGAAGTGACATATCTGTTTAGCATTTTAGATAAGTCTTTGCCACCAAAAAAAGGAGGTTTTTTTAATTACATTTTTAGATGAATGATGTCACAAACCATCCTTTCCCTGACAATCTGCGTCTTCGCACATTGCATTCCCCCTGCGTCCCTTACGACTATATGAAAACTAGGCTTGAAGCATTGCAAATATTGGTGTCGCAAATGAGCTACAAGTACATTGGAATTGGATGAGATGATTTGGCAGAGGCGGCATCATATGGAGGCACCGTTTTGCTTGGAACGTAGTCTCCCCGTTCCGTATTTGAACACGCAACTAGATTTTTTTGCTCAGAACAATTCACCTACCAATCCTAGTTCTAGATACCGGAAGCCTTCATCTCCTGTAGAATGGAACAAAGAAAAAACAAATCTTTCCAAGCAAAACTAAAAAGAAGCATTTTATGTACAGATGTACAAATTGAGAATTTCCTTTTTATTATTAAATTGGAGCGCAGATATGTAAACTCAACAAAACACAAGATTTATGATAACTGTATTATAGAAAAACTGTTTATATTTTAGTTGATGCAATGTCAAGTGAAATTTGTTGAGTAGTAATGGGTGTAACAGCGTGTATGCATGACTGTGAGGAGCGGATATATTTTCAAGTGCAGACATTCAACGGTGAGAATTCTATCAAATTTCTTAAGCATATGTTATTCTTTTTTTTCATAACGTCATAACGGGTACCAGTTAGTAACAGAATTATTGTTTATTTGAGTTGCAAGGTATTCAATGCCAAAGCATTATAAACGAGAGGATTTTAATTGTCTTTGTGAAGATTTGTATTCAAACAAACAAAAAAACACAAATCTATTGTCTTTAGGTTTCTCTCTTATGGAAGGGGGTGGGGCTAAAAATTAGGAATAACGACAGATTGTTACATGTATTCCCGTAAGTCATTGTTTGCCATGTTGGAAATGTTTTAACGGCAGCATTATGAACAGCTTATATACAGCAACAATTTGTCCAAAATTCTACACTTGCATATTTTGCGTCGACAGCTACTCTGTCATTTGCATAACTGAACTGATGTGGATGTCAATATATCTAAATGTACATTTTGTCTAAAAGCTTAATATTTAGCCATCCCCCCCCCCTAAAAAAGGTCGGGTACTACCACGTCAATCATTTCAAAAGAGTTTCTTTTCTTTTCTGCGTCACAGAGAGACAAAATATAAGATGGAGTTTATCATGGATGGATCTAGATGTAGTGAAGTGTGCAGTTTTATCTTTGTAAAACAAAGGTTTGAGTATATAATTAATACATTGTATATTGTAATTGCCTCATTTAGTATAAAAGAGAGGAGAGTGTTGAGTATATACAGACACATTTTACAATGTGGGGACAAATATATATTAAGTTTTGAGATCTACGTGTAAATACCATCAAGGTTATGTACAGAATACAATAGAGACGATTTTTACAGCGATACACTCTTAGCTGTAAGGGTATTATTATTATTATTATTAATATTATTAATCTAGTTGATTGAGGTATATAAAGTTTTAAGAGAAATAATTAAGGAGACTACGAAAAAAAAACAAAGTATGAAATGTTTCAACAAAATAATAATAAATTGTATATTTATTAGAGAGTTACTATCGGATGATTTTTAGGTAGAGAGCAAGGAATTTAAATTAAGCCACTATTTTTGCCAGATTTTTTTTTTTTTTTGGTTGGGTCGTGGATGATTTATATGCACAGCAGCTGGTTTTAGTTGATATAAGGGGAGAAATAAGTTGTGCACCAATCAGAGTAGGAAGAAACGTTTTATTTCAAGCGTCAGAACTCGCCCTGTAGTGTGTTCGTACATCAGGGTGAGAAGTTTCTTGACTGAATAGTCCCGAGCTTCGTAAACCTGTACACACAGATAACATTATCTTCAACCCATCTTTGAAGCAAATTCCCAGACTAAAGATTTTTGAGGGGTAAAAAAAGACCCGCGTTGTTGGAAGACAACTAAGTTATGAGGACCTGCCTTTCCTCTTGGAAAGGTGTGAGACAATGGACCGATCCAGTAAGCCCCTCCCACTGCGCGCATGGGCAAATTAACACGCGCTCCTCTCCAATGCCACACTGCATTTTCCTGCCGCGCGCATTATACGCGCGTGCACACATGTCGGACTTTTATGCACGCACGTCGGACATATATCACGGCTGTGATTGGTCAGAATACCATGGGGGGGGGGGGCTCTTACTGGATCGGTCCATTATGGTGCAAGCAATAAGAGAAACTGTCTTCACTTAGTTTTCAGTGTTGGCATACAGAGTTTGGGGGTTGCTAAACTCTCAACTACACCCCGTTTGGTGAAAGGCATTGTGGGGCCTATGGAACACAAAAAAAAAAAAAAGTTGACTAATGTTGAGGACACTTTTCCCATTCTTGAAACTTTTTGGACGTGGTTTGCAGACTGTATGAAGCACAAGATGGCTGTAAGACCAAGACAATTATCACCAGTATTCAAGGCCAGTAGGGTGTGAACAAGAGCTCGTTAGCAGATCTCGGTTTCTCTCTGATTGGTGCATTTAATGAAATAATCTTTACCAAAAAAGGTAGCTAGATAATTGTTCTCTGATTAAATACAGTGAAATGGTGTGCACCAAATTTTTTTGATTTTATGGTTTGTTTTTTTTACAAAAAGGACTCGTTTCTGAAATTTTTAGAATCGTTTTAAAATTAAAGTCTTTTGTTGAGTAGTTGGTAACTATCTGAAAATTGATCTATTTTATTCTAATTTTAATATCAAGTCCTTTTTTAAGTAGCAATTAATAATCTGACTACTGTTCTTCTATTTGCGGGCAGTTTCATCTTTCTCTCTTGCTTGACTGGCTGAGATTTCCAATGGAATCCAACAACGGTAGCCATTAAAGGCAATGTTGGTGACCTTGACACATAGCTACCTTTATTATCATAAAAAACTGCATACCTAAAAAAAGTTGTTAAAAATGCCACAAAAGAGAGTAACAGCCAACAGTTGTCAGCAATAATAAAGTGAATACTTAAACTAAAAACGAAATAGTTTTTGTTTTGTCCAATGCATAATTGCGGAAGTGACATTACCTGGGTGATTAAAAAAATAACCTAACTTTCAAAGAACAAAATCGCACTGCAGAGTGAAGATGCCTGGCTCACAAATAGAAAAACAGGAATAAGCTTAGTTTGGGGTTTGATGATTTTCTTGTTTATTTGTAGGATTCCTGAAATATGGGTGTTGAGGCAGCACAATGTCATTGATTCATTTCATACACTTTTAATACTGGAGGAGGCATTTTGGGAACTGTTTATCTTTGATTTATCCTTAACGTATTTCCACAAGCGGCAGCAAATATTGCTCCGCTGTCAATGCGGGTTTGATGTGCTCAAAACTGCTTTTGACGAGTCATTTTTTTCTCGGTTTCAAGTCTAGTGAAAAGTGAATACAATTATGTACTAAGGACCAAGAAAATGACACAATAGACGGATTTCAAAGTGGAATTGAAACCGAGGCACACGATGCTAAGCCATTGTATGACACAGAGGACCTTTTCTTTTTAAATCCTCTCAACAAAAGATAGCACTGACGCCCTCGCTTTCAGTGCCAATTTGAAAAACATCAATAGTCTTGTCTTCTGCATGCCATGCATTTTGCAGAATACAAGGTGCAAGACAAAAGAAAAAAAACATGTTAATATCATCTCTGACTGCATGCACGTACATGGACAGTTATTTGAGACATCAATTTCAGGAAAAAAATCATCAAGCCCACTTTAACCACTTTGAATTTAAAGGGTCATTTCCTTCATCTTAACTCTGCTTTAAGCAGGAGCACTTTCCACCTGCTTTTTAAACTTGTAGTTCATGATAAGCAAATATTCCGTTTCTATGCCTCCTCCGCTGTAACGTACATCAGTTCCCAGGGTAGACTGGCCTGTACGTACATTATTCAGTTCCTTTGTCTAGTCTTAAGGACCATCGTTCTCTTGTACACCAAAGCACAGTACCTGATTATTGGTAACTGTTTATTGCTTGTCCTGCTTTTGCACCTGTGCAATAAATGGTTTTCTTACTCTGAAAACATGCAACTCTACATACAACACATTGAAGTGACTGTTTTTTATTTCATTCATTCCTGATGGGGAATGGTTTGCTTGTTTGTCTATTTCCTACAGCCAATAACTATAAAGGTATTGGAGAAGTTCGAAATCCGAATGTAAAAGGAGTTAAAAGGCTCAGGACATGAATTTGAATGGGGAACACATTTTGAGCAACTGTTTGACATCTTTTTTTGGTTAATCTTATTGAAAAGTGCACTTCTTTAAACATTTAAAATTGTCCGTGCATGCTTTTCCTGACTAATGAGGGCGCTGTTGCTGTGATGTCATTTCCGGAAGACACTGTTCAAACTGTGAACCCAAAATTTGCACATTAAAAACATTTGTGAGAAAACTTTGCTCATTGGCCTACTTTCATGTACTGAAACAACAACGAATCACCAAAGAAAAGAAAATCTACGACAGAAAAATATCCAAAATTCTGGCACATTTTGGTGCTGAAATAGCTGTAACGTTGAGGATTCTGCCCGAAATGACATCACATTTTTGCTCATGAATATGCAAATCATTAGCATAAAAACCAAAAAGGCACCAAAATGCCCATAAAAAATGGCAAAATGGAAATTAAAAATAAGGTTAAATGGGACACAAAGGTGCATCTCTAGCTTCTTACTGCTTGTATATAGGGTGTATAGAAAAAGGAAACCCAGATGTAAATGTAAATTGTAAAAAAAAAAAGTATTAATTATTTTCAAATAAGATTAAGATCAAGTGAAAGACCAATGTTTCCTCTTTCCAATGACACCTTGATTGTGTGTCTGTGGCCACGGATGACTGAGCATTATGGGCCAAGTTTGTGCAAAAAGGGTAACTGGTTTTCTGGGCATGTGGAACGGCTTAATTTAAAGAAAGTAGACATAATTTTCTTCAAAACAATTTTGACAGTGATTTAACCACTCTCATTGTTGAAGTTAACCCCTCATGACCCAATGTCTTCAACGTGGCCACCACCCATTTCCACACAAAGCTCTGCGAGACGTCAAATATTCGCCAAACTACCATTTCAACCTTAGCATAACAAACCGGCCAGCATTCTTAGCCAGGTAAAAGTTGGCCCAGTACAGGTTTTTGGCCCTTGACAGAAAAACAATAAATGCTCAGTCATCCGTGGTCACAGACACATAACCAAGGTGTCATTGGGAAGAGGACACCAAGTTGGTCTTTCACTTGATCTTTAACTTATGTGAAAATATTTAGCACATTTTTTATAATCAACATTAACATCTGGGTTTCCTCTTTTTTTCGATACACCCTATATATAGACGGGCTTGAAAAAGGTTCATTAGAATGGTGCTGCAATAGACCTTATGGTTTAAGGCGAAGTTATAGGGTAATAATAATTAATTATAATAATAATTTGGGAGGCTAATCATCCTTACTCGCAGCTGGTATGTTAAATTGCCAAGGACGCGGCTACAACGTGGTCGGACCGCTGGCACGTAAAGGCGACTATGGTTGCCGGCCACACCGACCCATGACCACGGAGCACAGCCCGAGATCGAAAGTGTTTGATTTTTCCGGAGGGAGGAAAACCGGAGGGCCATGAGAAAAACCCTCGTGGCACAGGAGAGAACCAACGCACAACTCTACTCACATGCGATCCGCGGCCAGGATTGGTCACCTTGGTGAGAGGCGAGCGCTTTACGCACAAGCCACCCATGCCACCCCTAATGGTTTTGTATTGCTTTGTTTTGGCTTTAGTGAACCTTTTGTGCATTCATTGTTACTTAATTAAAATAACAAACAACACCCTCTGAGCTACCTGCAACGACACCGTCACCTCTTGACAAGGCTGTCTTTGATATAGACGGATCCAGTAAGACCCGCGCGTCCAATGGCCAATCACGGCCGTGATTACAGATATAGTCCACAAAGTAACTGGCGTATTTATTGTTGAAAAACATACTTGGTTGAAAGATAGTGAGAGGACTAAACTGCCTGTGAAATTATTCTTTCTAGCAAGCTGTCATTTTGAAGTAATCAACGAAAGAAGGCCTTTCCAGCGGTGCTTCTTAAGACGCACCGTAGGAAATGTAAATTAGTACTTCGTTTTGTTATTCGGCGAAGCGCGCGCAAGTGTTGGCACGACGCACACGCGCACGCACGCGCGGTTGCTAGAATTCGTCCGAATTCGTCGGATCAGTGCGCGACATCGCGTAGCTGCAATCGTCTCAGCGAGAACGTGTCTCGGACGCTGAATTCAGGCCCAATTCAAAACATGACTCAACAACTTTTGATTTCATGGAGATCCTAGAATGCTGTTTTTCTCGGAATATACAGCTGAAGCTGAGCTGAAACTTCATCAGGTTATAGTTGTCCAGCCATAACGTAAGTCCGTTCAGTGCGGTAGAGCTCAGAACATTAACAGCCATTCATCCTTCTGTGAAGAATTCGTGACGTAAACGACGAGAGTTACATTTTGCCTTACGCAAGTTACGCGTTAAGTTTGAACATGGCCTCCACTCTCGATGTTCATGTACTCGGAAAAAAAAACTTTAGAAAGATGCTCTGAACACGGAAGCATCATGGGACGAATCTTTGCTGGTAGAGATGTTTGTAATAGGGCATGCTGCTTTCAATGATCCCAAGCACTGCTGGATCGGTATCAAGAGTCGACCGGGGTACCTTCAAGTCCTCATTCTTCGAAAATCCACGACTGGTTGCCACATTGGTATTGTGTTTCGTCAAGAAAAGCGGTAGTTGATTTCTGCATGTGATCCATTTAGTGTACATTGGTAACCCATCGTCGTCCCATTCGATCAGCTTCCTGCTGAAGGGGATCCCAGTTGCTTTACAATACGCGTTCATCACGGCTTCCGAGTGGGCCACTAGGTCATCGGCGTCCATAAAGGATTAGGATCCACGTTTTCCTGAATATACTTGAACAGTTCAAACAACTCCTTGAAGCCAGCAGAATTTGCCATCACCACGTCTTTAAATTCTTCCGCGACTTCCATCGTAAATTCAGTTTTCAAATCGTTTTGAGACTCCCTCCAAGATGGTATGACTTTCTTGGGATTTCTGATGAGGAAACTGTGCCGGTATCCACTGGGAAGATTTGTAGTCCCTCCCAAACAAAACGCGAGATCCTTGGCGAAAACGAGACTTGCGCCCTGGTGCTTTGCTTCTAGCGTCTGTTTCACCCAATCAAACGTGTTTACTGATGAATCATAAGTCAAGTATGAACTAGGTAGTTCACCACGTTCATCACGATTCGCTTCACATTGGAACTTCCTATCTGGACCAAAGTGGAAAGCCATTGTGTACGGCTCGTAGTAAAACACACCACCTTCAACGTGACTGATTGACCGCTGAACAGCAGTGCTGCAGGACCGAGGACATGTCCATAGCATGACACGTGATTGCTTAGCGTCGCTAGCCATAATGTCTACCTGAGTACCTCTATATGCTTTACCAAGAGCTTGTGCATGAGGCAGTCGGGCTATAAAACGCTATCAATTGCGTGGGCAACACCTTTTGTAATTAGCGATGAAAATGTTCAGTGTTATCATCAAATTACAAAGTCTGATGAATCATGGAGGAAGGTCTCAATGAAGTTACAGTATTGGACTCGTCAACAAACGTTAACTTCAAAAACAACGCGACACTGAATTTCGGGCAGCGATCTCCCCTGCACAACAGCCATGATGGAAGCAACGTACACCACTCATCACACGCTTTGTGTCGAGCATACGTGTTGCCATTGACCTGTTTACGGACGGATATATAGCCCGGAAATGTGCAGTGCCGGCTTTTTATATTCGTGAGACTGCGCAAAGTGTTGCCCAGTGTGCATGCGTTCTTCTTCTGCTTCTTTGAGCTCTAACGTCTTGTGGGAGGATGTTATATTTGCGAGTTGTCTGGGGGTAGAATGAGTACTGGTAACAGTACTTTTATGATGTTCTGGCGACAGTTGACATTTGATGGAGTGATATTATTGACTTCCTTAAAGATGGAAATTAAGCGGAGTTTGGTGCGACAACTTTCGAGAGGTTCCCATCGGAGGTTTGCCAGTGTTTGTGACACTTGAGTTCCTGCTGTAGTCATTTTGGACTAAGCAAGCAGCTCGGCGTTGTATTTTCTCAAAAGATGCTTTGGTGTTGTTGTGACGAGGATCCCATATTGATGCACAGTACTCAAGCTTCGGCCTGATGAGGGTTTTGTAGGATATTTCTTTGACTGATTTGCTGCACGAGTGGATGTTTTTCTTCAGGAGACCCAGTTAGTGACACCGGTCTGTAGTTTGCAGGATTTGTGCGGTCACCTTTTTTGTATATGGGAATGACGTTAGCTTTCAACCACTCGTCTGGTAGAGTACCAGTATCCACAGACTTCTGAAACATTTTTTTGCAGCACTGGTGCTAGGCTGGAGGCGCAGCTTTTTAAAATCTTTGCAGAAACCTGGTCTGGTCCTGATGTTTTTTTGGGTTGGATGTCGGTGAGGAGCTTTTCTACGCCAGCTGAGTTTATGGTGAGATTTGGTGGATCTGGGATGTCGTTTGGTTCCAATTCTGGAAAGTCACTTGGGATTACTTTCGTGAAGACGGAGCAGAATTGGCTGTTCAATGCCTGGGCTTTATCAGCAGCAAGAGACACACATCAGCGTCCCATAGAGGTTAAAGATGATAAACCGATCAACTCCTGGCTGGTGGATTTGATATAGCTCCAAAAGGGGTTTGTGTTGTCACTCTTTAGGCTCTCCCCTATCACATCATTGACGTATTGATGGTGGGCTTTTCTAGTACCTCTGTCAATTGAGCGACGCAAGGATCACCCGTCCGGCGTCCGGACGCGAAACTGAGGACGACCCAAAGTACCTGAACCAGCGGTAGACACTCTCCACATTTTTCCACGAATGTGGAGCGAATTTGGCGAGCCGGCGGTCTCGGATCCGTTATCAGTGCACAAACATTTCTCGGAGGTCGAGTAAAACTTCCTCTTAAATAACGACAGAATGAGAACGACGTGATGAACAAATTTAAGGATTTTTTGCGTGGTACTTATAGTAGCATTATGTTAATGTGGGAAAACTTGACCCACCTTCGCGAAGAACATTGCGAATTTATACCACGGACAGACCATTGATGTGATTGGTGCATTTTCACTGTTCACACACAATGTGAACGTGACCTGTTTGCAGGAGTACATAAAGTATCATGTCCTTAATTTGATGGAGTTTTAAAAACAGAGCATTGGTGAAGCTTTACCATGACGAAAAAAATATTTGATTTTAATGGAACAAAACTAAATAGGCCTAAGTAAAACAAAAGTGCGATCGGACACAATGCGTCGTTGACCATTCGCATTTCTTTTTCTTTTTGGCAAAAAAATTACGGGACGGAGGCCACTATCTGGATTGAAAGATTTGCCGTTATGGGCTTATTTAACACTTTTGAGATCCATATCCCATTATGTAGCATTATGTTAATGTGGGAAAACTTGACCCACCTTCGCGAAGAACATTGTGAATTTATACCACGGACAGACCATTGATGTGATTGGTGCATTTTCACTGTTCACACACAATGTGAACGTGACCTGTTTGCAGGAGTACATAAAGTATCATGTCCTTAATTTGATGGAGTTTAAAAACAGAGCATTGGTGAAGCTTTACCATGACGACAAAATATTGGATTTTTTAATGGAACAAAACTAAATAGGCCTAAGTACGATCGGACACAATGCGTCATTGACCGTTAACATTTTTTTTTTTTTTTTGGCAAAAAAAATTACGGGACGGAGGCCAATATCTGGATTGAAGGATTTGCCATTATGGGCTTATTTAACACTTTTGAGATCCATATTCCCGTGATCTGTTACACGGTACCCCATGGAGACATGCACAATAGGGAACAAAAGATTGTATACGTCTCCACAGGGCACTTTCTATAGGTGAATACGTCTCCACAAGGTTATCACGAAATAGATATATGGATTTTACTCAAAAACTAGGAATGTCCAAGGTGTGTTGATCCGTCGCAAATAGAAGTATTTTATGTAAGGGATATTAATTCCAAATTTCAGCCCAGGAGATTCATTCTGGTTAAAATAGGAGCATTTTGAAAGTACACTTTCAAACTCGAAAACTTTAGTACACGAGAACAAAGAAATGACTCCACAAGGATACAAATTTCATTATGCGTGGACGGGACACACCTGCGCACTGTACTGGTTCGCGCGAGAAGTACGCACCACTTTTTGAATGTGCCCAGCCAGGGCCAAGTTCGGGCAAGGACCATTAGTCGACTAGTGGTTGATTTGTGACGTACCTTACGCCTGCGCACTGATAGCAACGTGCGAACGTCTCTAGTCAAACGCTGGTCAAAATGTCATCGCAAAACTTCTGGATCCTGGCTCTCTGCTAGCGTAATGAATGCGCGCGGCTGTTGGTTACCAGCGAAGTAACCAACCCCAGTAGGCTGGTTCCAAATAGTCGACTAGCGTAGTCAACCATCGTCGACTAGACAGAGTTCGGGCAAACGTTAGTTAACCATTGGTCAACTATAGTCCTTGCGCGAACTTGGCCCAGGATGGCCTCCTGTGACTAATCCCCGCTCCAATAACTTTGGATCATTCGAAATGCGCAGTGGATGGACCCGGAACCATTCTAGGCCTCCATGCACCAACTCATTTGTGGCCGTTGAAGGCGTACTTGTGCACGGAGCCCTATGCAGAAACACTTGGTTATTTTTTATCTTGCTTAGAAAGTGCATACATGCACCCTATTTTGAAACCACCGTCAGTGTTAGTTTCTTCCAAACGATACCATTTGAGGCGAGGTAATTTCATACGGTATTTGACACCAATCAATCTTCACTATGAGCAAGCTCTCAGTCAACATGTATTCGAACTGCAATTATTGTCCTACATGCCTTGTAACTTTCTTTCCATACGACCCAAAGCGCCCGCTGATCTGTCAAAATCTAGGAGGTCAAGAGGCGAGGTCTTGCCTAATTAATCAGCGAATCTGTTCACGCATACCACAGCTTTTGCCGTGGTCTATTACATAGACTATTCGTTAGTGCGTCAGTTCAGTTTAAACCACGCCCACTGGCCATTAAGTTTGCGTTGGAACCATTGGAACCGGAAGCTAACGCAACTGAGTGTTTATCCAATGGGCGCCGCGCGCGTGTACGACGTTTTCACTAACGAACCGGATTATGGGATACATGCCTTTCTGCAGGGTATAAAAGCATATCATATTCCGCCACTCCTCACTCTGGTGTCTGTTAGGACGTTTTCCTTACGAGTTTGTGAAATCAAGAGGAGAATGTTTCGCTGGGTTGCTGCTGCTGTCTTGATGCTGGGACTTGTGGGGTTGCTGACCGCCGACGCCATGAACGAGGTGAGTTGGTTTCTGCTTTCAAGGAAAACAAAGGAACGGTGATCGTAAAGTTGATTTTGCGTAGTGTATTAAAAGAAGATTATTTATGGTCACATAACCAGACCATATTGACCACAACCGTCCGTATTAATTAAAGAAGTTTCACAATTAGACAACTCCCAAGTCTCATTGGCCAAAGAATGCTGGCATCGATTCATTGTAACGATTTTTATTCTTTTCAAAAAAAAAGTCACAAATCGCAAATTGAATTGGTTTGTCGGAAATGAAAAAGACGAAATTTGACACAGAATGGTCATTCTTTCTATTGTTGTTGTAGCATCGTTGTCATTAACAATTTTCTCTTTCCTGAACGACTTTTTAGAAGCAAAAGTAAAAGTCAATTTTGTTTCAGGTATTTTCAAAAATTGTTTTTAACGGAACACTGTGCAATCGACTTGGATTTGGCAAATAGTGACTTCTTTACCTTTAACTTCGTTCGATCCCATCAAGGTGTCAAATTCAGCTTTTGATTATCAGTCAGTACCTTAACAACCTTTTACTTCTTGGCGGGTTCCTCCTCTTATCTTTTTTCGTAACGTTTGCCTGATCTGCCTGAAACACTGTTAATTGTAAAGACAAAAAATATAGCTTTTCCCGGCCAATTTCACCCAGTTTTCATTCAATTTAACGCCTTGCTCATTCAGTTTAGATTAAAATTAAAAGATCGCGCAGATCGTCATTCGACAATAAATAAGAATCATTCAATTTCACTATCCGAACATTCTATCGTCTTCATGGGCGTCGCCGGGGGGGGGGGGCATTTTATTCAAGAGTTATATGTGTAAGAAGATCGTCATTTTTTTAACGAAAATCGCTTGTAATTTGACACCCGATGGCGTCATAATTACGTCAGATTAATATGCACCACTAAGGATGAGGGTCGATATATTGAAAGTTACAAGTTCCTATCATAAAGCGTTTAGGAGAAAACCCGCGGAAACGTGCTGTACGGTAAAAAAAAAAGGAAAAAAAAAAAAAAAGATTAATCGTAACAACTCCAAAGAGTGGTCGGGTTGTACCCGACCACTCAAAAAGAAAAGAAAAAGAGGCGCGAAGTCATAGTGGTGTAAATTTAATGGGTGGGGGGCAAAATGTTCCTACCCCCTCTTAAACTAAATCAAGAGTATATTGAGAAATACAAGAATTTTTTGGGAAAAATATGTTTTGCCCCCTCTAGAAAAAATCCTGGCGACGCCCATGATCGTCTTTTAGCTTCACTCGTCGCTGTTAAAGCTGCATTAAACTTAAAAAGTATTGTATTGTTCATTCAATTTCGTCTGAACCAGCAGTAAGGGGTTGATTGGGCATTCATTATCATTAATGGGCAAACATATTTCACATGTATTTTTTAAAGAAATTCCTGAACGTTCGTATTCTTGTAAAAAGGGAGGATGGTTTGCGCCATCTTCTGATAGGGGGCACTGTTAAAAGCGAACAATTAATCCTGGACATCTTTGCTCTTCATCCCTGCAAAGTTTCCGAAGGACGTACGATTTGTTTTCGACAAGCCGATTCTGCCGTCCCGATTTTGCTTGTACAAAGTCTAGTCCGTTGTAATCTGCCGCTCTGCACTCCCCAACCCCTGGTTACGCCACTATCTTGCACGTCAAGAGATCGATGGGTGAATCAGTGATAAATAATTTTAAAAAATTACAAAACAGAACAGTAAAAAAAGTTAAAGGATTTGTTCAAATTTTAAAACAAGTGTAGAAAAGATCAACAGTGAAAGAGAAATTCCGTAGCCCTTTTCATTTCAAGATTTTGAAAAAAAAAATGGACCTCAGCAGAAAATAGGAAAAATTTGAATGACCAAACGATGAAAATGACTGCCCATATAAACGAATAAGAAAAGAAAACCGTGGTTATACGTCATATGCCCAGCGACGTTCGCTAATTTGAATGCGTCAACCGTCAAAAGATGTCAATAACTGAATGTGAGAATGCTGCAAATTAAGTCTTGAATGCACCAAAACGAAAAATAGAATGCCCCAAAACGAAAACTCGGAACATGTAATGCATTGTTTGCTGGTCTTCCCCAGTCTACCCTAGCCCCCTTACAAAGAGTCCAAAACTGTGCGGCCAGGATTCTCTCAGGTACTAGAAAGTTTGATCACATAACTCCGGTGCTCATGGAACTTCACTGGCTCCCAGTTAAGTATCGAATTATTTACAAACTTTGCTTGCTTTTTTATAAATGTATTAACGGTCAATGTCCTGACTACTTGAATGAATTAATTTGTAATACCAGATCTGTCTCCCTCAGAACCACTCGCCAGTCCCAAGATGCAACAAGGTTGCACTGTCCAAGGAGTAAGTTGTCCATGTATGGTGACAGAGCACTCTCATCGGTTGCCCCACAGGAGTGGAATAAGCTGAATATGACCCTAAGAGAAGTTGAATCTCTCGGTAAATTTAAATCAGGGCTAAAAACTCATCTTTTTAATCAAGCTTTTTTAACTTAACTTAATTGTCCAAATGTCTTGTTCTTGCATATACTGATTTCTAAAGCTGTTTTTATACATGTGTATTATTTTGCTTATTGCTATCGTATATTGTTCTAAGTATATACTGTTTTAGCCAACTGTTTGTGTAGAATGGTTTTACAGTGTTTAAAGCCGGTTCGGGCTACGCGTGGGTGCTGGGGCGAGGCGGGGTTCCGTTTCTTTTTTAAGTTTACATGTACATCTCGTTGTATTTTTATCTGTGAGGGGTATGAACCGGGCTTCAATCTTCTTAAGTATACATTTCATTGTAATTTTATCCTGTGTCTTAACTTTTTATATAGAAAACGCCTTGGAGCATGATTTTCTTCATGGACGGGCGCTATATAAATTTTAACTTATTATTATTATTATTATATAGGAACAAAATCTTGAGTGCCAAAAAAAATTGAAATTAAGGCCAAAAAAAAAGTATTCGGTCTCTGGTCAGACCAAAGTTCCGGAATTGACGCGGCCACGCGGCTTTTTTTTTTTTTTTTTGCTTTTTTTTTCTCTTCAAGCTTGCATTGTACAGACAAGGTGGGGTACTATTATGCTTTTTTGGTGTCCTCATGTACATTGGTGTCCTCCATAATTTGCCTTGGTGCTTTCGATCATTTGCCTTGGTACAATTTCCCATTCCTTGGTGCTCTTTGGTAAACAAAATTGAGGAGGTGCGGCAATAGAGGGCGCTGTTGGAGCTACCGTGGAACATTTTGGAAAAAAAAAAAGATCGACGCGCATGATTAAAATCGACGCGCGCGCTGACCAGAGACCGACTTGTGTTTTTTTTTGGCCTAATGCCCCAATAATGAAAAAGAAACGCCAATTTGATCCGATGTGTCGAAATCACACAAACTTGAATGGCCAATAATGAAAATGATCAGGGAAAATCTGTGTAAGTGAAAATTATTTTCCTATTTACTCGGAAAGCCATACACTTGACTAAAAATGATACGCGAATATGTATTACGACTTACTTGCAAACGTGATTATCAATTTAAGGTAAGACATGTACGCTGTGTTTCAATTTCTTCAAGTTGTGTTTTAATTTATTTATTTTGTGCTTAAATGGATTGTCTCCCCCAAATACACCGCATACATTTGCCCAGTTTGACAAAGTCCTTAGTGTTGACTCGAACCATTTCTCTTGAGTTAGGAAAAGTATAAATCAACTTCAAGCCGAAGCTGAAGAAAATGAAAACTTGGTCCTGTATTTGAGGGAATTTCCGCTACATGAAAAAAATATCGTTTTTAACAATAAACAAGTATATCTTACATAAGGAGTGGATTTGCTTAAAGTTTTAAGAATATTTCCGTTTTAGATGTCATGCAAAAAACCGACAAAATGGCACACCTGGAACTTTCACGATTGACATGCCAACGGGTATAGGCCCAATACAAGTCCGTTCAGTGCAGTAGAGCTCAGAACAGCCGTTCATCCTTCTGTGAAGAATGCATGATGTAGCTAGACGACGAGAGTTACATTTTGCCTTACGCAAGTTACGCGCTAAGTTTGAACATGGCCTTCACTCTCGATGTGCATGTAGGCCTACTCGAAGAAACTTTAGAAAGATGCTCTGAACACGGAAGTATCATGGGACGAATCTTTGCTGGTAGAGATGTTTGTAATGGGGCATGCTGCTTTCAATGATACCAAGCACTGCTGGGTCGGTATCAAGAGTCGACCGGGGTACCTTCAAGTCCCCATTCTTCGAAAATCCACCACTGGTTGCCACATTGTTATGGTGGCTCGTCATGAAAAATGGTAGTTGATTTCTGCATGTGATCCATTTAGTGTACATTGGTAACCCATCGTCGTCCCATTCGATCAGCTTCCTGCTGAAGGGGATACCAGTTGCCTTACAATACGCATTCATCACGGCTTCCGGGTGGGCCACTAGGTCATCGGCGTCCATGATAAAAGGATTAGGATCCACGTTTTCCTGAATATGCTTGAAAAGTTCAAACAACTCTTTGAAGCCAGCAGAATTTGCCATCACCACGTCTTTCAATTCCTCTGCGACTCCCATCGTAAATTCAGTTTTTAAATCGTTTTGAGACTCCCTCCAAGATGGTATGACTTTCTTGGGATTTCTGATGAGGAAACTGTGCCGGTATCCACTGGGAAGATTTGTAGTCCCTCCCAAACAAAATGCGAGATCCTTGGCGAAAACGAGACTTGCGCCCTGGTGCTTTGCTTCTAGCGTCTGTTTCACCCAATCAAACGTGTTTACTGATGAATCATAAGTCAAGTATGAACTAGATTGTTCACCACGTTCATCACGATTCGCTTCACATTGGAACTTCCTATCTGGACCAAAGTAGAAAGCCATTGTGTACGGTTCGAAGTAAAACACACCACCTTCAACGTGACTGATTGACCGCTGAACAGCAGTGCTGCAGGACCGAGGACATGTCCATAGCATGACACGTGATTGCTTAGCGTCGCTGGCCATAATGTCTACCTCTATATGCTATACCAAGAGCTTGTGCGTGAGGCAGTCGGGCTCATGATAAAACGCTATCAACTGCGTGCCCAGCTCCCGGGGCCCGGGCAACACCTCCTGTAATTTGCGTTGAAAATGATCAGTGCAGTTTTACAAAGTCTGAATCATGGAGGAAGGTCTCAATGAAGTTACAGTATTGGACTCGTCAACAAACGTAAACTTCAAAAAGAACGCGACACTGAATTTCGGGCAGCGATCTCGGTTGATGTTATTTCTTCAACGCCACAGGTCGAACGAACGCTGCATCAGCAGAAAAATCCGAAGGAAAATGGGTTTCGTACCACGCGAGGGCGCCGTGCGAGGCTGGTTTAGACTTGATCAAGTCATTCAGTGGCTTAGCGTTGATAATTTAGCCTGGAAGTGTTTCGTTATAAAAAAGTTTGTTGTGTGTTTTTCTTTATTATGTACAGGCTGATTACAATTTTGGAATGTTTCACGTGTCCTTTTTGCCATTTTTATCGTGCTTTAATTTGTATTATTAGTTACGTCTGAATTAAGTGCATATTATCAATATTTCATGCAATTTATATGGAGGTATAGAAAATTTCCGGCAAAGTAGTGCTTACCAAAATAATTCTCAAGCGTTCGGACCGGGTCCTTCTTCAGTGGTTTATCGTTCCTGAATCTTTTTCATGTATTTCTGTGGAGTTATAACCAGTGGCGTAGCCACCGGGGTGCGTGGGGGGGGGGGGGGACTGCCCCCCATGAAACCTTGTCGCCCCCCAGTCGACCCCCCCCCCCCCCCCCACTGAGATTTTGAGTTTCTAAAAAAATTGTCATTGATCTAAATCTAAATAGTTGAGAATGATCCACATGATGACCACTGAGAAACGACCCTTCGACCGGCGACCGCGGACCAGTAAGCTGACAACCGGCATTGCCTCAGATAGCACCACAGAGCATTTAGAATCCAAAATTTGTTTCGGGGCCCTTAAGCGGGCCCCGAACCCCACGCCTATAGCTCAGAATTCTGGTAGCTGATTCAATGACTCCAACCTCGAAAACAATGTTCAAAATTTTTTCTTATGCCTTTAGCTGAGAAAACCTCGAAAATTACGTTTAAATTATTATCTTTTGTGCTAAGATAATTATTGGTTAAAGTGGTAAAAAAAAATGCCTCAGATCACACAACAGAGCATCGAGAATCAAATTTTTTCGGGGCCCTTAAGCGGGCCCCGAACCCCACGCCTATAGCTCAGAATACCGATAGCTGATTCAATGACTCCAACCTCGAAAACGATGTTCAAATAATTATCTTTTGCTAAGAAAATATTAGTTAAAGCAGGGAGGAAAGTGGTCAGAAATTGCTTCAGATCACACCAGTACCACAGAACATCTAGAATCCAATTTTTTTCGGGGACCTTAAGCGGGCCCCGAACCCCCACGCCGTAGTTTTTGTTTTGTCCAATGCATAATTGCGAAAGTGACATTGCCTGGGTGATTAAAAAATAACCTAACTTTCAAAGAACAAAATCGCACTGCAGAGTGAAGATGCCTGGCTCACAAATAGAAAAACAGGAATAAGCTTAGTTTGGGGTTTGATGATTTTCTTGTTTATTTTGAAGGATTCCTGAAATATGGGTGTTGAGGCAGCACAATGTCATTGATTCATTTCATACACTTTTAATACTGGAGGAGGCATTTTGGGAACTGTTTATCTTTGATTTATCCTTGACGTATTTCCACAAGCGGCAGCAATTATTGCTCCGCTGTCAATGCGGGTTTGATGTGCTCAAAACTGCTTTTGACGAGTCATTTTTCTCTCGGTTTTCAAGTCTAGTGAATACAATTATGTACCAAGGACCAAGAAAATGACACAATAGACGGATTTCAAAATTGGAATTGAAACCGAGTCACACGGTGCTAAGCCATTGTATGACACAGAGGACCTTTTCTTTTTAAATCCTCTCAACGAAAGATAGCACTGACGCCCTCGCTTTCAGTGCCAATTTGAAAAACATCAATTGTCTTGTCTTTTCCATGCCATGCATTTTGCAGAATACAAGGTGCAAGACAAAAAAAAAAAAACATGTTAATATCATCTCTGACTGCATGCACGTACATGGACAGTTTTATGAGACATCAATTTGAGGGAAAAAAATCATCAAGCCCAATTTGACCACTTTGAATTTAAAGGGTAATTTCCCTCATCTGAACTCTGCATTAAGCAGGAGCACTTTCCACCTGCTTTTAAACTTGTAGTTCATGATAAGCAAATATTCCGTTTCTATGCCTCCTCCGTTGTAACGTACATCAGTTCCCAGGGTAGACTGGCCTGTACGTACATTATTCAGTTCCTTTGTCTAGTCTTAAGGACCATCGTTCTCTTGTACACCAAAGCACAGTACCTGATTATTGGTAACTGTTTATTGCTTGTCCTGCTTTTGCACCTGTGCAATAAATGGTTTTCTTACTCTGAAAACATGCAACTCTACATACAACATATTGAAGTGACTGGTTTTTTTATTTCATTCATTCCTGATGGGAATGTTTTGCTTTTGTATAACCTAGATTTGTTTGTCTATTTCCTACAGCCAATAACTATAAAGATATTGGAGAAATTCGAAATCCGAACGTAAAAGGAGTCCAAAGACTCAGGACATGAATTTGAATTGGGAACACATTTTGAGCAACTTTCTACTCTTAAATATTTTCCCCATGAATATGCAAATCATAAGCATAAAAACCAAAAAGGCACCAAAATGCCCATTAAAAATGGCAAAATGAAAATTGGAAATACATGTAAGGTTAAATGGGACACAAAGGTGGCATTTACACGGACTGCGTTTAAAACAATACATTACGGGCCCTTTATTTTATCAGGTGGATCGATCTCTAGCTTCCTACCGCTTGTATATAGGGTGTATAAAAAAGGAAACCGAGATGTAAATGTAAATTGTAAAAAAAATATATTAATTATTTTCAAATAAGTTAAAGATCAAGTGAAAGACCAATGTGTCCTCTTTCCAATGACACATTGATTGTGTGTCTGTGGCCACGGATGACTGAGCATTCATTGTCTGTCAAGGAACAAAACCTGTACTGGGCCAAGTTTGTGCAAAAAGGGTAACTGGTATTCTGGGCATGTGGAACGGCTTAATTTAAAGAAAGTAGACATCATTTTCTTTAAAACAATTTCTTAAATTTTGACACGGTGATTTAACCACTCTCATTGTTGAAGTTAACCCCTCATGACCCAATTTCCTCAACGTAGCCACCACCTATTTCCACACAAAGCTCTGCGAGACGTCACATATTCGCCAACTACCATTTCAACCTTAGCATAACAAACCGGCCAGCATTCTTAGCCAGGTAAAAGTTGACCCAGTACAGGTTTTTGGCCCTTGACAGAAAAACAATAAATACTCAGTCATCCGTGGTCACAGACACATAACCAAGGTGTCATTGGAAAGAGGACACATTGGTCTTTCACTTGATCTTTAACTTATTTTGAAAATATTTAGTACATTTTTTATAATTAACATTAACATCTGGGTTTCCTCTTTTTTTCGATACACCCTATATAGACGGGCTTGAAAAAGGTTCATTAGAATGGTGCTGCAATAGACCTTATGGTTTAAGGCGAAGTTATAGGGTAATAATAATTAATTATAATAATAATTTGGGAGGCTAATCATCCGTACTCGCAGCTGGTATGTTAAATTGCCAAGGACGCGGCTACAACGTGGTCGGACCGCTGGCACGTAAAAGGCGCCTATGGTTGCCGGCCACACCGACCCATGACCACGGAACACAGCCTGAGATCGAAAGTGTTTGATTTTTCCGGAGGGCGGAAAACCGGAGGGCCTGGAGAAAAACCCTCGTGGCACAGGAGAGAACCAACGCACAACTCTACTCACATGCGATCCGCGGCCAGGATTCGAACCGTGGTCACCTTGGTGAGAGGCGAGCGCTTTACGCACAAGCCACCCATGCCACCCCTAATGGTTTTGTATTGCTTTGTTTTGGCTTTAGTGAACCTTTTGTGCATTCATTGTTACTTAATTAAAATAACAAACAACACCCTCTGAGCTACCTGCAACGACACCGTCACCTCTTGACAAGGCTGTCTTTGATATAGACGGATCCAGTAAGACCCGCGCGTCCAGTGGCCAATCACTGTCGTGATTAAAGCTATAGTCCATAAAGTAACTGGCGTATTTATTGTTGAAAAACATACTTGGTTGAAAGATAGTGAGGGGACTAAACTGCCTGTGAAACTATTCTTTCTAGCAAGCTGTCATTTTGAAGTAATCAACGAAAGAAGGCCTTTCCAGCGGTGCTTCTTAAGACGCACCATAGGAAATGTAAATTAGTACTTCGTTTTGTTATTCGGCGAAGCGCGCGCAAGTGTTGGCACGACGCACACGCGCATGCACGCACGCGCGGTTGCTATAATTCGTCCGAATTCGTCGGATCAGTGTGCGACATCGTGTAGCTGCAATCGTCTCAGCGAGAACGTGTCTCGGACGCTGAATTCAGGCCCAATTCAAAACATGATTCAGGAACTTTTGATTTCATCGAGATCCTAGAATGCTGTTTTTCTCGGAATATACAGCTGAAGCTGAGCTGAAACTTCATCAGGTTATAGTTGTCCAGCCATAAGGTAAGTCCGTTCAGTGCGGTAGAGCTCACAACATTAACAGCCATTCATCCTTCTGTGAAGAATTCGTGACGTAAACGACGAGAGTTACATTTTGCCTTACGCAAGTTACGCGCTAAGTTTGAACATGGCCTCCACTCTCGATGTTCATGTACTCGGAAAAAAAAACTTTAGAAAGATGCTCTGAACACGGAAGCATCATGGGACGAATCTTTGCTGGTAGAGATGTTTGTAATAGGGCATGCTGCTTTCAATGATCCCAAGCACTGCTGGATCGGTATCAAGAGTCGACCGGGGTACCTTCAAGTCCTCATTCTTCGAAAATCCACGACTGGTTGCCACATTGGTATTGTGTTTCGTCAAGAAAAGCGGTAGTTGATTTCTGCATGTGATCCATTTAGTGTACATTGGTAACCCATCGTCGTCCCATTCGATCAGCTTCCTGCTGAAGGGGATACCAGTTGCTTTACAATATACGCATTCATCACGGCTTCCGGGTGGGCCACTAGGTCATCGGCGTCCATGATAAAAGGCTTAGGATCCACGTTTTCCTGAATATAGTTGAACAGTTCAAACAACTCCTTGAAGCCAGCAGAATTTGCCATCATCACGTCTTTC